CGGCGCAAGCTTGGGCTTCGCTTTGGTACCGAGACGGCCAATATCGAGTGATCTGCCAGGATGTACCAGAGAATGGCAGAGCCTACAGCTGATAGCCAGAGAATTGCAAGGCGACGACCCCCCGCCTGACCTTCAACCTTTGGTTCTGTGGTGATTCCCTAGCACTTAAGCGTCCAGTCCTGCATACGGCTTTGTGAAACTACTTAGGATTACTTAGGGCAGGTCATCACTTGTAGGCACATTTCTATTTGACCTAGGATTAGTAAACTGCCCCAAAACAAGGCTAAACATCCCCCCGATCCCCCCTCCTCCTGTTGTTGTTTGTGCTATTATGTTATTTCTTATGTTAGATACACTATATATCCGCCGACCCCACTCGTGGGGTGAGGCGTGACTGTTGATTTAGCCTTAGCCTTAAGCCTTAGCCTTACTTAGTGATTCAGCCTTAGCCTCAAGCCTTAGCCTTAGCCTTAGACTTAACCTTGGAGTTGGCCTTAGACCTTAGCCTTACCTCCCCTACCCCTCCGGACCCTTGTTGCAGTGACGGAATCTGACGAAATCCGCCAAGATTCCCCAAGATTCGCCAAGATTGCGACAAAATTTCGACAAAATTTCGACATGATTTCGACACGATTTCGCCAAGAATTGTCCAAGATTTGTCCATCCCAATTAATTACATCTTGGGGCACCCTCTCCACCCGCGCGGGAAAATAAGCACGGTCCATAAATGGTCCCGGGCTCGAATCCCGGGGTGGTCGCGGCGTGATCCCCGCCAATACCCTTGTTTTTTTCTAGATTTTGTCACGTTTTCTGTTGGATTTGTGGGATTTTCAAAGGCTTTTCCAGCATTTTCCCTAGGAATGCTCTTGGCTTTGTCTAGATTTTGTTACGTTTTCGGCTGGATTTGTATGCTTTTCAAAGGATTTTGTGGCATTTCCTCTTGTTTTTGGGTTCCCAGATTTCCCCCAAAAATTGCTAACCTGTAGAGCGCATGAAAGGCACAGGTACCACAATGCAAGAAAATGGGTTAGCAATTTTCTGGGGAAACCTGGGAACCCAAAAACCAACACGATGCCTGTACAGATACCCAAATTAAACAGAGGAAATGCTGGAAAAGCCTTTGAAACTCCTACAAATCCAGCGAAAACGTGACAGGCTCTAGCAAAAAGCAAGAGCATTCCTAAGTAAATGCTGCAAAAACCTTTGACATCCTACAACTCCAGCGGAAAACGTAACCAATTCTATGAAAAACCAATTCCCCTCCCGGGACCCAACCCTGCCACTACATTTTCCCTTGGGGTCGGCGGCTGCAGGCGGTAGCCTGGTAAATATATATATATGTATATTTGTGTTGTTGAAATGCATATACATTGCATATGCTTATTGTATTGTTTATGTGTTTTCTTATTGTTTAAAGGTCTGCTTAACCAGACTGATTCAGCAGCAGAATTCTGGTCATGATGACTTGTTCATTGCTGTCTCATTGGGATTTGATGGTGTTCCTATTACTTTTTGATTGGATTGTATTGGAATGAATGTGCTTTTCTTTATTGTGTGCTTTGCTGATTCAGCAGCACATTTCTGGTGCACATGATGATTGGTTCATTGCTGTCCCATGAAAAATCAGAATTCCCATACATAGTCTGCACATGTCTGCACCCAAGATACAGCTACATGTTTTTTCTGGTTGAAAGGTCATTTAGCTGTATTTTGAGTTTGAGCCTTTCATTTTGTTATATAAGTTATTCTTTGCTTCCTTCTTGAATTTCATACTCTACCCCCTCTCCACTACTCGCTGATCTAAATCCAAGGTTTACTCAGGATGGTCCTGCACCCTTTGGGGTTGTCATTCTCACCATCATCGACACCACCGGTCCCTGGTCGACTCGTTTGTCCGGGCCATCGGCGACTTCAGCGCAGGTCTCTTGCCAGGCGCTCCAATCGGCTTGGTAGTCGATCTCACCCATGTCCTTGTGCGTCGGTTCGATGTCCCAACGACTTGGCCAGTCCGGAACTGGAAGTGAACATCAAGAACTCAGTGGTCAGAAGCTCAACGTTTGTCACTTGAAGAAGCCAATCTATTGGTGTCCCATCCATGTCTGATCAAGCTGGGAATCACGTTTGATGACATTATTGGTGAGCTGTGCAGATGAGTGGTTTGACATGCAAATTCGATGTTGTGTGAGAAGATGGTTTGATCAAGGTGGAAATCCTAGAAGTTTGAAGAGCCCTTGCTTGCAACTCATTCCAAACATCCTGGCCTGATACAAACAACTATCGCCTTTGTGCTTTGAGTGCCAAGAACCCTCAGTGAAAACAAATCGTTACAGAATGCTAAGGAGGATATGTTCTCCCCTATTTATTGGGAATATTTAAAACATTTGGCAGGCAACTCCATATAACTCCCTTTTGGAAGCAAGAAGAAACGAAACGAGCTGGATGCCGGCATCCAGAAACTCGACGCCCTGAATTCGGAAAGCGCAAGCTCCTCACCCGACGCAATTGGAAGGTTCTGTGTCGTCGCTCCTCACAACCAACATATTTTCATGAACACACTTCAGGGTTCATCGCAGTGGCCGACAATAATGTAGACTCTTGATGAATACAAACCCCAATTGAAGAGGTTCTTTTAATCCAATTGGTGGAGTCTCATTATGGTTTTACTAATCGAGAATCTAGTTCCACTGTTCTGGGGTGTGTCGTAGAGTTTCTCCTATCTTGAATTGAAATCTCCTGGTCCTGGTGGACACTTACGAGTTCCACCTGACTTTGATGTCTCTAGAAAGGAAAGCATAATCTCGTGTAGCAAGCCCAAGCATTCAACTATCTTCAATTTCTACTTCTTATTGTTTCATTTAGCATGCATAACCTATACTAGTGTAAAGCCCCTTACTATACTAATCTATAATCTATACTAACTTTCCACTGCTTATGTCAGCCTCGTTCCACCGGCAACGCCCCAATCGGATGACCCACGCGGCTCAGGCGCCCTTCTGTGGCCAAGGCACAGTGTATGGAGTGATCCAGCACATCATCCTAAGCGGCTTCAGCTTGCTTCTAAAAGGATGAAATCTCTTGAGTCTGGGCCCCGAAATCTGTCACTACACGAAGCCAGATTCTTTTCTTCAAGCAGGCTGGCACATGGTTGTCTCAATATGTTACAACATGTTACAACATTTCGGAAAGCCACCCAACTACATCGGTGTTCATATCATGTCATATCTATACTGTACGTGTCTTTTCAGGTGACCGAACTGGACTCGCTGTCCACACGTTGGCATACCAAGCACCCGTATACCGTGCATTTCACGCTTCGACTCACGCGACCCGTTGATGGCACACGTCGACGTATGGCCCATAGGTCGGAGATAGGCCGGTCATAGGTCGGGAGATAAGCTTTCACATAAAGATAGGCCATGTATGTTTATAGGTAGACCTTTGGTTTCGGGAGGTCTCCCAAGAAACACGCAGCTGAGCTGGTGCTATGCAGCCGCTTTCGCGTGGCACTCACCTTCGGCACGACCTGCCCGAACCCAACCCCTTCGGTTTCGTGGCTTCCTGGGATCCATACGTTTGGCGATGCATTGGTTTTGGAGACGATCCTATTCAGCAGTGGAAGTATGGAACTTCTGCTGAATAGTAGAGAATTATAGTCATTAGGCTGTATATTCCACATGTTGCCATATACTACTGACTCCAATATGTATGTCTAAAGAAACACACCCTGATGTTCCTGCTTTTCCCGTCGCAGGTCTCCGAAATTTGGAGGACTCGACTCGCCCAGCCATGGAGAGTTCCCTTCGATGGGCCCAAGAAGGGATGTAAAAGCTTCTGCGACCAGCCATGCTTTATGTAGTCTCTCAAACATCTTCAATCTATCAGCAACCCGAAGAAAAAGAACACATGCTTTTGAGTGTGGTTGCTTGAAGTGTTTTCCTCAAAACGAGATGGTGTTGAAATCTTCGACAGGCTGGTCAATTATCTTCTGTGGTTGGAACCCTCAACAACATGGATGATAGCAGCCTACTACTCACCAATAGCAACTACTTCCTGTCAAAGGAATTTATCGGGTATGTTGAGGTCGTTCGGCGGATTTATTCCCTTTGGCACCCAGTTCTGTTGCAGCCACTTTTCTGGTATGCCATCTTCCTCACAGACCAGCTCTATAACTGTTTGCGCCTATCCCCCACCCAAGCTACGCCCAGTGTCTGTGTCGCAGAGCAGTGCCTCAGGAGTGTTTTGGAAGCTCATCGATCGGAGCTACTTTGGATGAAGAAGAACCCAAATTGGGTTCCTTCAGAATGGACGTGATCTGGGACACCATGGGTAGTTTACACCCATGTGATTCCTTCACCGCGGTCGAATTGGTGCCAACTAAAAGGCGTTTTTCTCTTTATTAAGGCCACACCTCACCTCTATCCGAGCAGTTTCTTGGCCCAAACCAGACTCCATGGTGCCGAAAGTGAAAACCAGAGCTCTCCAGCCATGAAACACCATTCTAAGTGAATTCTAAAAGCCTACCAAACCTGAACCTAGGATAGCGCCCACAAGCGTGTCCTACAACGCCCTGCAGAAAGGCCGATAGTTTGTGTGCCTCACATGCCTGTACAACAACAACGATAATGTACATGCACTTGCGCACGCAGAATATAGACCAAAATGCTAGGTGCTTTCCTTTCTTCAAAGGTCCTTGAACCCTTTCAGGGTCCACCGAAAACATCCAACAACTGCATGTTCAGACCATCAAACTGACTGGTCTGCTGTCTCTTTCTTAAGAACTGCCAGGCTGCAAGGGGCAGCTTCCATAAACTTTTGCTTGACACCAGCTGCCGTACAAGTCGTGGCCTTGCCGTACACGACGGCAACATGACACGTGGCTCCCGCTCAGACACGGACGTTTCAGTGAAGTAGACAACTTGACGAAGCGAATCCATGAGACTGGAATAGTTATAGACAAATTGATCCAGTCCCAAGAACTATAACTATTCCAGTAGTCTATAGCCATCCAGTAGTATAACTATTCCATACATTGATCCCCCCAAGCTCGAACTATGTATGTATATATATATATAAATATGTCAGTTTTCATGGAGTGTTTGGGATGGCAATGGAATGGACATACAGTTCGATCGACAACATCTTAGTACTTTCTAGAGGGATGCACTTAGAGAAAATGGTAATTAGAAAGTCAAGTGCGTATTTCATTGTACAACAAACACATTGTTCGAAGTAGAACAGTTCTATGACCAAATCGGGTTGGAAGACCTCCATGTAACGTGTGAGTCTATACCTAGAACCTCATTAGGCAATAATTTCCGCCCAACGCCATTTAGGCACAAAATTCTGCCCGTTTTTACAAAGAACGCCTAAGCTGCAGCCTCGAGGGCCAAAAACGCCGAGGCACAATCACATGCATTCTTACATGCAGGCGGCAGAGCCAGAATTGAATGAACAATTTTTTGAGAAAACCAACGCTTGCACCCTGACGCTCATTCCAAGTCTAAAGTATTTGAAACTCATGTCTCTCACTCCCCCCAAAAGGCTACCATTCCGTTGTCCACCCAACTACTGATTGTAGTGAGGGGGAAACGGGTAAGAACGCCTAAGTAACGGGCAAGAACGCCCAAATAACGGGTAAGAACGCCTAAGTGACGGGAAGAACACTTATGCAAAATACATTAAAACATATATTAAACAATGATAAAGATTCCATAGAAAAACTGAAACCATACAAAAGAGAAACATAAAGTGAATCCACAACAAACAAATGTACCTCACTATGGAAGTTCCATGAACCAGTCGTGGCTCATCTATTTGAGCAACGCCACCAAAAGGACAAGAACGCCTAGAGGGGACAAGAACGCCTACAGGGGGCAAGAACGCCTAAGCACGGGCAAAGCCGCCTTTACCCATAATAGGCAGAAATTTCTGCCCAAGAAGAGGTTCTAGGTATAGCGCAAGTGGATCCATCCGGGAGATTCAAGTCCTACACCGGATATAGTGGACAGCGAACAATGTAGGTTATTTGGCTAGTTCATTCCCTGTTAAGCGGCCATACTTGGAGATGTCGTGGATCGTGATAATATGTGATAACTTGGAGTTGGAAACATGATCACCATAACTTGCGAGCGCGGCTATTGACAGCTATATAGAGGCATTGACCTATACAATAACCACAATCTCTAAAGCCACTTCGGGTATTCAACAAGGACTTGCGTCTCGCGTCTCTGTCAAAACTTCACATGTCTGTTTGCTGTATCTGCGAAAAATATATATATATATACACAAATCAACCTCATGTCAAAAACCTCCCAAGCTCTTTCAACATGACTGCAGATACCATCCGTATACCATCCAAGCTCCAGTCTGCCCCACATCGATCCACCGGTCTGAGAAGGCCGGACAAAGCTCTTCGTGCACCGGATCGCACGGGCAATGCCTTGGGAGAGCCGAGCCGTTGGCAGAGGGGCGACCCGGTGGTGGCGAGTCGGCAGGCGCCGACTGGAGCCCAGATGCCTTCAGGGAAAACCATTAAAGGAATGGTTGACCTGGTGGTGTAGTGTAAAATTCCTTAGTAAAACAAATGGTTCTTTGGTAAAGACCATTATATACAACAATGTGTTGTTTCTTTCGACAGATAATATTAGGGTAAAAATACCCCAGGACACCGGGACTGGCATTCAGGAGCCCAGATGCCAGTCACGCGCCCAATGGGACGGACATCTCTTCCAGTCCCGTGGAGTCTGGGAGATACGGTGGTCTTCGGTCGTAAACGTCGGTTACAGTAATTGACCTAATTGACGGAACAAAGAACACACACATCATTCACGGGGTTATTTCAACACCTCCCCACTTGGTGAACATCACTCCATCTTGGGCTTTACTGTATAAAGCGATGGCCTTCAGCAGTTTATCTCAAAGAACCAGCACGTCATAGCATGCCAAACAAAATTAACAACAGGAGATCAGCCTTCAAGCATGTCATCATTCAAGTCCATTGTGTTCAAACTTAAAAACACGCTTCTTCATGAAACACGAGACCCTCCCCGCGTTGCCCTTCGGGTCATCACTACCGCCTCTACCGCCGGACCCTGCGGGACGTAAGAAACGTCGCGGCTGAGGTGGCCGGCGCATCGATGCTTGCACAGGTCTCGACGTAGGGCTGAGACCAATCTTCATAACCTGGAAGCAATGCCCAGACCCAAAACAGCCATTTGATCTATTTGCACAGAACTGAAAGATCTAGATGTCCACCTATGGAATACCTACGGGATCAACACTGTCATTTTCATGGGGCAAACGTATGTAACTCTTCCATATATCGTATAACATTATTATGTAATATCATATTTACAGTAACAGTAATATAAGATATAGAATATTATATATATATATATATGTATAATTTTATAGAATTATATGGATGTTCTGGGAAGTCATTGTTGAAACCCTAGGAGTCCACCTCCTCAAAGGGTAAGAAGTGACCCCCTCTGGCCACCCACCTCAATCACCGAAACGGAGGTAGCTGGCCCCGAAACAGGGACAGATGATTCAGACATCGTGAGCAGTGCATTGTTATCGGGGTGAGGTGTGTTCGCACGCGAGGCCCAACTCTCAGATCGAAAGGCTTGGATTCTTGAGCAGTTCCTACTATATAGATACTATAGGCCGACTCCATGTAACGTGAGTACACTCTGACTCACTAACATGGACAATGGCCCCCTGTAAAAGACCATTGTCCTCTACACTGCAGGTGGTTTTCTCCATGTGTTCGTCTGAGATGGGAGATGATCGGAGTGTCATCTGTTTGAGCCGCCTGTGTCTCCAGGTCCAGACACACCCCGTTTCACCGTCGGGACCGGACCGAGACGAGTCGGAGTGACCCCCGTTTCACCCCGCCACGGTGAAACCCCACGCCCCGGTCTCGACCGACGCGCCGGTCTTGACGTACAAAAGCAAACCATGACGTCACACAGACAAGCACGGTTTGATGGCGCGGTTTTAGTGCTGCAGAACATATCATATGCATTCGCTCTTTTCTCTTCATTTGAGTCACCCACCCAGCAACGCACGCGTTTGCCACCCACCCGGGCGTTTTTCTCGCGCGCCCCTTGCGCCGCCCGGTCGGGTGGCCATCCGAGCCGTAGGCCGGCCGGTAGCAGGCCTTCCCGGCGGCTGAGCGGGATCCAGTCATACCTTCTCAGGTACCGGTGAGGACGGAGACACTGTTGTGTAGGTGCCATGGTCGGGTCCAGTCCAAACCGGGTCGGTTCGGCACGAAAACGGATCCCTAGGGTTGTCCTACCTCAGCGCTCCTGTCCCCATATCCTCAGAAGGTAGCGAGACCCCTCCTGACACCTACCCGCACCAGGAGCTGTAGGGAAATGTCCTAAGGTCCTACATTTGGGAGTGGTTTCCTCACCCCCAAAAAATAGGGATGAGTATGATTCCTGGTGCTAGACTGTAGACCTTTCTCCCACTCAAGTTGCCAACTGGTTTTCTATGAACTTGTGTGAATGTTTTATGCGTCCCCTGAGCGATATGTTCCCCTCGAGTTGAATCCATTTTGGAACTCATTGCTTGACGCTGACCAATGTTGGGACCTTTGGTTGGCCAAAAGGGATCGGCTCTTAGTAACTTAGTACCTGAAACACCCCGGTAGCCAAACAAGACTGGCTTGGAGTTGTTTACTTGACATATACATAGGTCCATGATGGTCCATGCACAGGTGCTCTTTTTTCCAGTTGTGATTTTTGTGTTTCTGGATGTTGTGAAAACACACAGGATCCTACAACAACTATGAACCAAGTCACGTTTTTCAACAACAAGCGCGATACAAGCCTAGCATACTCCCAGCTTCGCTGGATGCTGGCATAAACGCACACACATGCCCACACCTGTGTTTTCCTCCCTCCCAAAAGGAAACCAAGATCCTTTGACTCTCCAATTTCCCTCCACACATCTCACAGAGCAAGCATAAGAAAACTGGCAGCTGTGCCAGCAGCCGTGCCAGCAGCTGTTAGGATCTGTGCGTACGGATCTCGCACCCACCTCGCCTGCTCCTCCTCCGTGCAGGTCAGTGGGCAGTTCACCACCTTGGCCTGACACCAGCTGCTGCCTGCGGTCGACCCGGCCGATGCGGCAGACCGACCGGCCGACCATCGGGAGGGTCGGGTGGATGCGGAAGTCACCGGGTGGCGGTGGGTCGATGTGGCCGGTGGGTCGGCAGCCCAGAACTCACCCTGGTTCAGTCAAAAACCATCCCAAAACCGTGGTTTCTTTCATGTCATTTCATGTCTATTTGGTTCATCCAATTCGTGGGACACAAGACATAAAACAAAAAAAACAAGGTCTCCAGCTGCAGGTGCTATGTACCCACAGCCATCTATTTGCTTCAGCGAAGCTGCAGCAGCGATTCGACGGGGGGATTCCTTGCCCACACAGGGCCAGGCACTCTTTGGTGGACGAGCTGTTTCAGAATGAGTTATATATAAAGCTTGCAGGAAAGGCCGGTGACCGGTGACGGTGATTCAATGATGCGCCCGGGAGGTGTGGAAGTCTGCCCCAAAACCTGGTTGGAGCTAGAAAGTTGAGGAAGTTTGCAGGCTATCAAACTAGAGAACCTTCATGTTATTCTGACCGCCGCTACCCTTCAAAGACCACTGCTTGTTGACTGAGATCCATGTACATCATCAACAGAGGCCATTTTTTGTAGCTCGATTGGGCCACCAAGACCATTTCAAAATCGGATTCCACCCCATAACATCTGGAGTATGAATCAAAACTCCATCCTGCCCCTTCCACTCCAATCGGTGCCGCCGTGTAGCCAAACTCGTCAGTGCATTTGTTCTCGTACCTGCACTGACTTACGGGCAGGTCGGTGATGACCTTTCTTTTTGGGAAGGCTAGGACGTGCAACACATCTTGAGGAATGCCCCAGGTCCTAGGTGTGTTGGACATTGTTGGACCAAGTTTTTCCCGCTGCTCATGCTGCTCTGGCTGAAACAGGTTGCACGAAGAAAAGTAGAAGACCAAGATTAGGGAAGCCGTTCTGTACTCATCGTGAAGCAAGTCTAAAGTGCTGGCAAGGCCAAGCTATGCATGAAACCTACACTCCAAACACTGAGAATGAGTGGCCAAACATGACCAAACATATCCGAACATCCTTGTGGCATTTTTGGAGATTACCAGACACATTGTGACTGTCTCCTTCTGCGGCTCGAACAGCTGCAAAGGGTCTAGTCTACACGTCAAAAACCGGGCGAGACCACCAGGTTTCCCCATCGTGACCCACCAGGTTTCTCTGTTTCTCCCAGTCTCACGTGGCATCGCAGGGGCAGCCGGTGGCAGCAGGCGCGCAGAACTCATTGCCCTGGAGGACAGGATCTCATCGGAGTGCACGGCCGTGCACGGCGTCCACGCCGCTTTGCCATGGACTGGTTTGGTTTGGATTTGGGCCAATTGATATACCCCGCCCCGCCCAATCGAAGTAGACCACTTGGACTTGGCTGAAGGAACCGAGAAAAAACACATCTTCCTCACTCATAGGGAAGGTCACCCGGTCACCCGGTCAAGGCCCTAAGCAAAACATAGCAAAACATAGGGAGAATGGTTCCTTGAAGCTCGATGTCCACTTCCATGTGTGTTGGAGGCAGGAATACCACTGTGACAAAAATATGTGATTGTTCTTCATCATCTGGAGATATCCTCCAGCTGCCTTTGGGCAAGGGTATAATTCAAACTTGCTAGGCTGGGAAAGCATGTCCCATTATTGTGAAGCAAGAGCATGTCCCATGTTGCCTCCATGCCCTCAGTGAACAACAAATACACTCAACCGAAACCATGGCAAAGTTGTTTGCTGGCAATCAGTTGGCCCGAGCAAAAATCGAACAAATGCCCTGTGCAGTTGCGCAACTTGAGCTCCTTCGTGCAACAACACAGGGCTTCCATGAACAAGCTAAGTAGCTAGATTTCATCTGCGCCATGGTGAAGAACACCCTAATGAGCTCTCTTGTTCAACCACACACTTCTGTCCTGACATCGGCAGGAGACTTTGGTCCACCGGTTAACTCTCTTCCTTCTTCCCTTATACCATGTTGTTCCCCGAATTCCGAGAACTGGTAGTAACTGACAACATGGTACAACTGCGGTACGAGTACCATGGTACGAGTACCATGGTACACCATGGTACGGCAGAATCTTTGATTCTGCGATCTGTTTTACCAGATGGCTGTGGGCCATGGCACCCCGGGACACCCTGGGCCAGACCGCGGACCAGTTCTCAACAGATTCCTCCTACATAAGGATCTCCATTAGAACACACAAAACAAATGGTCGACAATGGTCCAGGTCCAATCGGTTCGCCTGCTGGTTCCAGTCCGGTTCGCCAGTCCTCAGCGTCGCGTCACAGGTGGCGCCCCCAAAAAATAAGGAGAGAGCGCAGGCAAGCAGAAGTCTGGAATCAGGCTCCCAGTGGGACCAGTGGGGAGAATCTCAGTTGGACCGGAATTTGGTAGACATGATCTCGGGCACCACTAGGGCCTAGGCCTAGGGTGCGGCAAGATCATGCAAGATCCGAGATAACCCGCAGAATTCCGAGAATGTTCCCCACACAAAGTCACTGAATCGTTTCAATGGACATCGTGTTTTCGTTGAGCAATCTGTTGAATGTCTGTTTCTTGTGTCAACGTTATGTGTTGGTCATCACTCGGCGTTCAACAAATCCAGACCGCCGACTTCCGGAAAACGTCCGCTTCAACCAACACCGCGGAGAGCGCCCAACCTCACAAAATAGCAAGGCGGTGCCAACGGTGCCAAGAGTTTGTTCGGATGTGTTGAAGACCCTGGCGGTGACCAAGGTACCTGCATGAATGCGGTCGTTCAGTGGCTGAAGTCGATTACGTTGCATGCCACCTATGAAGCCTATGATCGGGTCACCCAGCAAAGTGTGTCCCCAATTGGCCATGTCCATCCATTTCCTTTCCCTATGCCCTGAAAGCGCTTTTCACCGCCCCTTATTGACGCTACCGACGCTACCTGTCACATGACCCACGTCGGCCGAGAGGCGTTGCATCATAGGCCTGGCTGTAGCAGTAGATCTGGGTGCCTCAGTGAAACCAAAGGAATTCCCGGATCTAGGTTCACCGGGATCTTAGCTTCCCGGGATGGTTTCACTGAGATGTGCCGAAAGAGGTTTTTTTCTCGCCGGTGCTTAGAGCCAGCTCTAACTGTTCTGACGGTTCTGACGGGGTCCTCAGATGTTCCGAATTGGAAATGATGTACAAAGAGCGGCACATGTGGTTGATTAACACAAGAAGTGGGGTGCCTGTCCAGCTATTGACTCCTCATGTTCTTAAGCATCATTCATCATTGACCTATGATTCATCCATCGTTCATCGATTCCAACACAATAATACCGGATCATGGCTTGGAACATTCAGGCTGGACATAGGGATATGAACCTGCTGTAATTAAAGATAAAAGAACACAATAATGATGATGTACAATGCATGCGGATCATCTATAATGATAATATTATATATAAGTCATTATATACAGTAGTGTAAGCATGCACCTTTGACTACGTACTGCGAGTCACTTTGTATCACGATTCATGCAAAACACTTTATGGTATCCTACTGAAAAACTAGCTCACCAGTAATAAACCAGCGAACAGCAACCAAGTCCTTGCCCAAATAAACTCATTATATCAGAGCCACCCTCCTGGCCTTTGACCCCAGAGACTGATCATCCATGTTGATAGCTACTTGGAGTCCCACCGAGGGGTCGAAGTTCTGGTCCGTTGATCAATGTCACCGCCATAGTCACCAAACATACCCAAACACTCCATGTATACATCAGGGTGGTTCTTCAAGTCAATGGGTAGGTATGTGTAGGTATCTTTTTTCCTATGACCCTGTGCAGTCCCGTCGTGTGTTCCACCGGTATCTGCACCGTTCCGACCCGTAAAACGGTCGTGTAACCCGCCCACCCTGCCGAAATCATTCTCGAAAGGTGAAGCGCAGCGAAGAAGAGCAGCCGCTGCGGACAAAAAAATGGTCAAAATCGGCTTTAAAAGGGAACCCAGTAGTGTATGTACAACCTGTCTGATCAACTTCTTATTGATATTATTGTGTTATTGACGCTATATAATGTAATAGACTCCAAGAAAGTCGGCCTGTTCCGTGATATCCACTGCCATCAAAGTTCCCATCAACAGCCATGAACCCATGACAACATCTCCGGTACTATCTTCGGTCCTAGCTGTTTGTATTCTTAGTCGTTGTGCAGTCCAAGAAGATCACTCCTGTCAGCATGCAAACTGGTCTTTTTTGCCCAGAAACTGTTGCAGAAGAGAGGGCAGTTGCCCCACTCTTTGTCCCAACAGTAGGCCGAGAACTCATCCTCCGCACATCGCTCGGAGGACATGCATGGTCGCCCTGAGACATGGCCAGCAACCCCACAACAACAAGTATTTAACTTTTAGATCGCTGCAAATTAGCGAGGAAATTCAAGCAATGCTTCTTTGGATGTCATGCTTTTGGGAATTCTGAATACTTTTAGCTGTTCTGGATGTGATTCTGGTAGCTGGTGTCCACCAGATCAAAGAACAACACGGACCGCATATGACCGGCTGAATTGAGGGTGGGCCCCAAAGGAGGTTCGCCCCACCCGACTATATATCCAACAACACCTCGAGCTCGGCGCACACCTGTCGCTTCGGCTCGACCGGTCGTCGTAGGTGGCTTGATGAAGCTTCCCAGCTAACTAGAGTTCAGATCGAACGAGAAGCCTTTTCCAATTTATATCATTGGAACCTAATAAAAGTGGACATGACCCGTACTACAAACAGGAAGAAACAGGTACTTGTACCCAGTTTCCATGGTACTCAAGTAGGGTCCAGGTACAAACATGCACAAACTACCTACTTGCTTCCTCTAATACGTGCAGGGAAACTCGGAAACCAAGTCCCGTGTTAAGTAAACGTGAATTCCCCCACTGATGAAAAATCAACAAAAAAGACATGTTTCTTGACCTGTTTTCTGAGGAAAGGTCTGCCACATCTTCCCACCAGTCAGGATTTTCTTTTGGCCGAAAGAAAAGGTGCAGGAAAGCCCCAGAGGCCGTGTGACCACGTTGGCTTTGGATTCTAAGGATGACCTCCACCCTACTAGGGATGGCCTCCAACCTACTAGCAATGGCCTCCACGGACTCCACGCCCTTCTTTTTTCCGGCGCCGGGTTTGGGAGCGGCTTGGAAAAACCGGGTCCTTGCAAAGCAACTCGACGGTTTCATCGCATTCCACGTTGAAGAGGCTGGGACCTGAGCAGCTCGCGCAAACAACCGTCGCGCAGAAACACTATGAACAAAGAAAACAGCGCAATTGTTGCCTGCGTCGTGAAAATAGCGGACCGCGTTGCTGGCATGTGTTCATGGATTGATATTATGGATTGATCTGCATGAGGTCATTGGTGCAACAGAAGCCAGAAGCTGAAACATCCATCTTGAATCATCTTGAGCAAGCCAACATCAATCAAAGTTGGTCAAACAGAGACTCTTGCCGCATGCCTCGAAAGTTTGGCGTCAACTCATATACGATCATATATACGTCTAGCACCATCCGGGGGGCTTGAACCCTTGCGCGTTACAATCGAGTGGACTGGTGTTGCCGCTTGTATTCCACCACCACAAAGAACTCGCCCGCATGACCGCATGGTCTGGACTTGGATGCCGCCGTGTTCGACTGCTGTGGTCGCACAAAACCTCGACTGGGCTCCGTGCAACCCAGCTTCTTGCTCTCGCAGAACTTGAATCCTTGGCCTAAGTGGAAGAACTGTCTACTCGCCCAGACACGACCCATGGGACTGCCATAGGACTGCCGATCAGGCCAGGGGTGGTTGACCTGGGGGTCAATGGGGCGGCATCTATGGCAGTCCCATGTGTCGTGTCTGGTGCATGTGCATGTGATGATGCGGATTGTGAAGCCGCAATGGTCCATGGTTCTAATATGGGTCCAAGGGTTAAGAAATAGGAGGAACATAGTTTGATGTTGGAGAAACCTTCCTGAAAACAACATCCAAAGCCGACACAAGCATACTCAGAAACGTGGAGTGCTGGGATCAGGTCATTAGAGTGCTGAGATGTGCCAAGGACTTCATGGTCCTTCTCGAGAAAATCATATATATATATATAATAGAACCCCTTTCTCATTCCCGATTTGGGTCATCATGATAGTCAGCATTCTCCGGCTCTTGATCTTGAGCATCATTCTGCTCCCTCTGGGCCTTCCCAACTGTCACACATTTCCTCAAATTCGGAGTTGCAAGGGCATCCTGGCGGACGAGGTCCGGCCGAGCTCGCCAGCCCATGTCACCGATAGTGTGCTACCACCGAAATCCGCCGCCGGCCAGCGAGCTTTCGCTCCGAGAAACAGCATCTATCTTACAGGTAACCATGTCAAGAACAAGTAATATCATAAGTACAAACAATGGTTCAGTACAGAAAATTCCTACAGTAACCATTGTACACATCCAATTCGCCATGTCAAGAACAACAGCAATGTATCATTCCCACCCATCACTCTGCTATGACGCACTTCAAGTGGACCCTTCTGGTCCCAAAAAACAGCCCTGATGAGGTCTCCCATCTTCCATCATTTCCCGTCTTCGAAGAACCCTCACAGTTGGTTGGAGGTCTCCCTTTTAAAAATACACACTCATGTAGACTCATGTATACCTCCCACCAGTTCTTGCTCGCAGCTGAAGAGCTTCACTCCAAGACCACAGACGGGACGCCGTCGACAGCGTCGCTGTCGCCGCGGACGGGCGCACCTTCGTACTCTGGGACGCAGAACTCTTTCGCTGCCATGGTGGCTGCTTCGTTCCATTCACCTGCCGCCCGTGTGCTTTTCTGCTGTTCCAAGAGGTTTGCGGCAGTAGAATTTGAACCAAATACCGCTGTTTTTTTTTCTCCATTTGCTTATGGTCTTGAAATGTCTTGAAGCTTGTGGTATCTTGTGGTGGTAATCTGAACTGCCTGGTAGGTCTTGATCTAAGGTTGATCTTGTGATGTTGTTTCCTGAAGCATCATCATATGATCATGTCAAACACTTACAGTATCCGGACTAAACTGCCAATGGGAACCTGATTGGTCGCTGCTGTGTGTGTTGGAAACCAAACAAACAGGCCTCGGGGATGTTCAGCTAGAACGCACACCTAATATATATATATATAGGTAATTATGTAGACTTGACTTGTATTATATATCCAATATAACCATGTATTATCTATTGACGCAATTCCCTATACACTGTAAACAACTACGGTGAAACTTGAGTCAACCCCTAAGAGCTCCGGTATCCCACCAGGTGAAACGGTGAAAACCCAAACCGTTGTGACAACTGGTGTGACCACTCAGTCGAGCTGCACTCAGCTCCGGAGGCAGCTCCCAGAGCTGCTGACAAGGGTGCCCTGATTCAATCTGAAAAGCCATATGATATGCAAATGATATGCCATACCAGGAGCTTCAGTCAGTGACCAAACTTGAGATCCCAGGATTTTCGGTCACGACGAGTCACACTGAACTCACTTAGAGACTTCAAAGAGGTTACTTTCAAGGTCCGGTATGGCATATTTGCCTATACGTACACTAAGGGGTGGTTGAATTACGGGGCCAATGAGACGGCATTGGCCGTCCAGTCCTATGGAGTGTCTCCCTAGGGATCCAGTCGTACCTTCTCAGAAGGTACTTGGACCTTCCAAACCTACATAACAGTGCCTCCAATCACCGTACCTGAGAAGGTACTTGGATCCCTAGGGTCTGAGTATTGGCATCTTGCCATCCCGAGTCCCTGCTTTCAGACCAGACGTGCTGTCCCATCTGTTGGGATCTTTCCCATCTTTCCCCATGACTGGGGGAGCTTCTAGAACATCGGGAGAAAGGCCAAACATGACTCAACTACCAGGAGTTTCTAATCAGAGCAACCCTGGGGGGGGGGCTAGATCCATGTTAATCACTCACTTTGGAAAACCTTTGGGATGGCAACTCCATCGTCCAAATCGTCGATGGCACGACCCCATCCGCACCATTGGAGTCGTAGACGTTGGTGCGGCAAGACCTGAAGGGTCACGTGGCGGAAGACCCCAAAACAGGGAAGACCCACCAATGACCCACACGGACACTCCATGGGAGTGGCATATTTAAGACATTTTTAAGACATGCATTGGGGTGGTATGAAGGGTCAATGTAGTTCATATTCCAGTCCCATGCATTGCAAGTGTATGTATACACACCCAAGTAAGGGTGTGAACGGAATGTCGAACCTTATCTTATGATTTGTTGAGGAAGATCCATGACGGAAAGCACGAGCTATGCTGGACCCGCTTGGCACACATTGCTTGGACTCTCCAGGTGTGAACTAGCGAAGCAAATCATGTCAATATGATGATCGACAAGCCTGCAGCACATGGCACATGTGTGTTTTTTGTTGATAATGGTCTCAAACATCAGCGTCATATGCTTGTTGCTGATGCAAGGGTCAACTTGTCATCCACTATGGATATACTGTAACAATAGTAGATAAAACATATTAAAACATGGTTGAATGTAACACTAGTCACTAGTCAAGTTGTTCAGGGGTGGGCTTTGCTCATCAACCTCTTGGTTCCACCAACAACGAACCATCCCAACATCGACAACGAGTGCCGCGGCTGACTTGATCGACAACGTGTCTTGATGGCATGGCCATGGGATGGGATAGCCTCGATTGGAACAATAAAAAGACACCTGGCCACTCACGTTCGAGGGAGGTAGGGTTTGTTGTTGGTTTTTGAATTTCTTCCCAACACGCATGGACCCTCAAATGGAGAGATCGGACTCTCATATGGAGGGGTCTAGAGTCTAGGGTCTTACATGATGCCAGGATGGTTTGAAGAGTCTGGGTGAATCTTCAAACATCCCAACATCTTCTGATGCCAAGCCACATTTCTCCTAATCGGCAGGCAGCACCTCCGCCGCTGCTTCCCCTCAGGATGATCTTCGATTGGCCGCAGTGATCGAAGTGTTTAAGAGTCGCACCAAAGAAACCTGTCTGATGAAACGCTAGGCTTCAATACTTCTATATCGAGTCTGTTTGTGAGGTTGTGTTCTTCCTTGACCAAGATACCCTAAGATGAAAAATGCATGGGTATGCATGAGTCTTGTCTACAAGCGATACTTTCCAGGATCCATCTCACTTCTGAGATGCTTGCTTAGGTCCCGGAGAAACCTTGGAACTGGTTGTTTGTCAGGAACTGGTGTCCACTGCGTGTGAAGGCCGCTCCTTCTGAAAGCCAGCACCAGCCATGTGCTTGTGAAACCCCAGCAGGTCTGTCAGCTGAAATTCATGTGCAAACCTTGGTTCCATGTCCAACTCTGAACAGGTAAACTCACGAGTTTGGTGTGGAGCCAATGTCCACACATTGATTTCAGCGCAAAAAAGATGAGGAAATCAAGCTGACAGACCTTGGTTCTGCTAAGATCGACTGAGAAGGTCGCTCTGTCGCTCTCTCATCGTGTACACAGGGATCCGAATCTTTAGCCCGCCACAGGCTTCACCGTGGGGGAGCGCCAGTCTGGGTGTCCAAGTCCTGCAATTCCTCAAGGTTCTTGGACCCAAAGTCGCGCATCGAACTCACCCGGTGGGGAAACCACTCAATTCCTGGCGAAGCTGTGGTGCCACGTGGCGATTCCAAACCTGGGAAGCCAAACACCGTAAAGGCACAAGATGGCTTCAAGGAGCCAAAGAAACAAAACAAAACAAAACAAACAGGTCCGTGAAAGGTATTATAGGATCGTCACACACACAAATAAAAATACAAAAACACATGGACCATCCGGATATAAAACCGTACGATCTCACTGGCAGACGCGCACTCGTGCGCAAGTAGAATTCCGCGGTCTCGCGGAGAGCCGTCCACTCCAGGTTCGGCCGCTCTTTTTTGAACCGTACCGTACCAAACTTGTTTTGGTTGGGGGGACCATCCCAACATCATGGGACTTGCGCGCCCGCGGACCATCCAAACACCATCCAAACACCCATGGGTGGACCATCCAAACACCATCCAAACATCCTGTCACATCATCGGACCATCCAAACTCTGGCCCCGCGGACTTGCACTCTCTGAGGGTCCGACATGTACCGTATGGCTCCTGCGGGTGGAACGACCCTGGCCCTTCCCCCATTTGGGCGGACCCAAGAGAGGTGAAGTCGGTTAAGTGACCTGAACTATAGGACCTGTCACCTGGGGTACCAACTGGGATAGTTGAGCTTGGGTCCTGAAATGTCCTGAAAAACCTCTGTTTGGACCCTTTGAATACCCGGGTTTTGTTGGAAGGTGGAGTGCGTGGAGAGATCATCAACCGTCGATGGGTTGCTTTTGTTCCGGCCCAGAGTCTGGTTCTCATGTGGTGCATCTTTTGGGGGGGACCGCTTGCACCATCGTTTGAAGAGATAAAGACAAACATATGACACAATACAAAGTTCATCCTGATCCTGCGGGATACTTCAACTGACCTGAATCTGGTGAATCGGCCACCTTGACATTGTGGCACAGAGACATCAAACATGTTTGACCCATCCCATCGAACCATGACTATAGTATCTTGGATTTGCAGCATCGTAACGTCTGGCTTGGTGGTTGGAAAACCCCTTGAAGGATGAGTTCTCCACTGGAGAGGGCTGTTCTCCCCGCGCCGAAGGCCAAGGCCACGTAGGGCCACCTAGGGCCACCAGGGCGAGACCACGCGTTCGGTCCAAAACCGCTTTCTCCACCCTGAAACGAAGTGAAGCCTTGTCCCGTCCACGCCGGTGCGAAGCCCGGTGAGTGAACTCACTCGCCCCTTCGCCCCTTCGCGCGTCCAGGGGTCCCCGACGTAATCAAGGCAGGTATTGAGGTCGAACTCATCCTGAGGATGGATCCTGGACCTTGATCCCTGGGTGGGGGACCGGAGTACCGGAGTATAGCCAGTTCCAGGACCTCCCCGGTGACCGAACTTGGGAGGACCTCCCTTGCGGCCGAACTTGCAGGTTTGTGACCAAACCAACCAGGGGATCAAAAGGTCACTGGGAAAATCCTAGGTGAGTAGAAAAAATTGAGCAGTCTCCAACCAACCCGGTGTGCAAATGTTAGACCTTCCCTGACGCATGACACTCCAACTGGCTCCAACATCATGATACGTACCCCAAGTGCCCCCGGGGAGCTCAAAACCTATAGGAATGTCTCTGAGACAGCTGAGCACTGCAGTGTACGGTCTGTCCTCTCCTTTCAAGGGGAAATCTCTAGGATTTTTTGTACAATATATATATATATATAGATACACGGACAAAGCCAGGTATTCCAACCAGAACTTTCGAAGGTCAACCCGAACTGCTTGAAGGGGGTGGAAGCAGAACTGTGCGTTTGGAACTGCGGGATCAACAAGTCACTCTTCGCGCTTCACGAGCTCGCGCTTCAGTACCTGGACCTCTGTAACCTCTGTACCGAGGATTTGACAGGATTCGGGTGTGTTGCATTCATCTCACCTGCGATGTGTCACCAATTCCGTGGGATGTGTCACCTGCGACAGCGACAAAGAAACACATCTCGGTTATTCGGGTTGTTGATGGTTTGCAGAACGCGAGGTCAGAATCCGTTTCCACCACCAGAAGCAAGCAATCCAAGCACTACATCTCGCATGTGTGGGGCGCGGTCATGAAAGCTTTTGAGCCCCTCAAAATGACCCCTGGGAACACCATTTTCCAACAGGTGGTTTTCCACTATTCTTTCAGGGAGTCTTGAACTCCTCCGACTGTTCTATCCTCCGCACGGGTCCATCTCCCCAACAGATCCATGCCGCTCTTCTCGGCCAAGGCCGGGTCTCCCGCTATTCGCACGCGTGCGTTACCCAGGCCGAAGGGACCATTCCCAAGGTCTCTGCGCACTGTGCCAGCCTGGGGCGACCTTGTTCGCCTCGGGCGTTTGAGGGTGTTTTCACTATCGATTTGGGGCAGCGGAGCGAGGACTTCTTCTCTGCAAAACTAATCCAGTGTCAAAATGGTGTTCAAATGTGTTCAGTTTTGTCACAGCCTGGGTAGAAAAGTGTGGACAAGGGAAGGGATCTTAAACTGGCCTTAATGATTCAGGCCTGGCCTTTACCCGTGATGTTTTGCAAGGTAAATTAAAGTTCACGAAATAAATGTCAACCTGTGGATATGTGTGGAGGCCCCAACCCTTCTGTTTCGGCTGCTGCTCGCCAGTGGTATTGGTCGCACGATGAGATCACATGCTGAAAGGTAAATTTCTTTGAAACAGTTCAATCCTTGTTTACACGGTTGAAAGCTAAGAGCGTAATTAAAACACTTTGAGTACCACAAAATGCTGGTGACAAGTTCCCCATGCACAGGTGGACCTCGATACCCATGCACGGCCTTTTCAATAAAGGTAGGCCAAAAGCCAGCTATTGAGGAATCGAACCAATTGCCGCTGACCCAATAAATCAAACAAACGTCGGAATCTGGGTCATTATCATCAGCATTCCACCCTTCATCAGCAAGGACAAAGCATGACAAAGCCATTCGATGATGTCAAGTAAAAAAGACCTGGAGAAAGCACCAGTTTCCCTTTCTGGGACCCAAGGACATGCGGCGGCCGCGTTTCATCCATCTCCGGACAAGCAAGTTTGCCTTTGAAAGAAGCTGAAGCGGCTTGGGAGTCAATAGAGCCATGGGTGAGGCTGAGGTGTCATGGCTCCTGTGATGACATCCGTAAAACAACCCCCTATACCGACCTTTCATATCGACAGGCTTGACTCTGGGAGCCCAAAACACCATCCCAAAGTGGAACACGGCTGCTTCTGGGCCATTCAGATGTCAAAGACCGCCCCATGTGCTCAGTCATCTGACTACACACGGCACTGGGGCGCTGGCCATACAGAACACCACAGCACTTGTACTCTGCAACGCACTTGGTAAAGCCTGGCATTTGGAAGCGACCGGTCGCTGCTTGTGGGAGGCGAAGTCAAGGGCGAGAATACAAGTGCGAGACCAGACTTCAGACTCCGTAACCGGCGCATGCTCCGTCAGACTTCATCTCCGGATCAGCGGCTCCAGTGCTCTACAAGCGAAGGGCTGGTGGACTGGACTGCTGGTTTCCCCAAAGAAACCCGAACGGGCCCGACACCCAAGCACAGGGGTCCGGACTCGAACAAAAAAACCCTTCCCATGAGTTCGGGCCCGGATTCTTGGGGTTGATCCGAATTGCCCACATGTTGATCACGAGTCTACGTGTTGGCGGCACTGGTACATGAACTGATGCATGAAAATACCGTAACCAGAAGGAGAGCTTTCACAGTGGGCAAGCTGACCTATAGTACACCTTTCTGGGAAAATCCTCTTTCTGGGAAAGAACTATATCATTTAAGCACGGCACTGAAATTTGAGTGGATATATATATATATATATATAGACTGATCTATAGAAACATGTCCCTCGTGGCACCGAAATTGAGCTGGTAGAAGCCATTAGGACCGAAGCGCAGACCTTCGCACCCGATCACACCCCCCACTGGACTCCACCACTCTCTCCGGTCCCGGAACCGAGACGTCTACTCCACCGCACCGGTGGCCGCCCCCGGCTGCCCAAGGCACCCAGAAGATCGGTGCACAGGGTCACATCGCTGAAGTCCAAGGTGCCATTCATCTGACATCGGCCGCTCACCAGATTGGAATGGAGGGGAATGGGGGCTTTGGGGGTCATGGCACCCGGGGGGGGTTTTGGGCCCACTGAACCTGAACCGAACGTCCGCGGTCTTTTTGCCCTCCGAGGCCGTACCGGGTCTGTACCGCCCTTCACCGGTGCCTTCATGGGTGCGAAAACCGGTGCTCCGTTGGACGGTCGGAGTGGAAACGACGGGTCGATCGGCGCGGCTGTCGGTGGCGGAACGCGGGGCGGAACGCCCTCCCCCGGCTGCTGCGTCGAGCGGCTGCTGCGTCGTGATACTGGCTGGGCAAGCACGGTTTCCAGGCGTGGTCGTAAATGCAGGGTGCATCCTCAGACGCCGCGCGGCTCCACGCGGACCGGAGGCCGAACCCGGCCACAGGGCTAAGGCGGGGCCGGGTTTGGGGTAGGGACCACGCCCATCTCAAAGTCTGGATGGTGGATGAAGATCCGGAAGATCCCCTTCATGTGCACAAAATGCTGTCAGAAACAATCATGGGGGGTGAAACATTGAATCTGCATATGAGAGTTGTTATTTACTTACAATTATCATGTTCTCTCTTGAACTGAACATGCAAACGCTGGCCTTGTGATGTTCCAGTTGTTTGATGTAAGTTCTGAGTATATTTGTGTACGCGTGTTGACTATTTGTCTGTAGAGTTGAACTGTTCAAAGATGTTGAAAGCATGTTGGAACTTCCGGCCTAGGGTACGTGATAAAGAACTGGCACCATGCGTGGCAAGGTGTCATGTCCCATGAGCCTTTAAACAAAGATGTGTACAGACGTGTCCGCACGTTCCAACCGCTGTTGATGTTTCTTAAACAACAAACTATTTTGTTATTCATCAACTTGGTGCTGCGTTCATCTGAGAAAGCGTTGTGTCGATCATGCGCATTGTATAGTGTATTTGGATTTGCTTCAGGAACCTGAACGAATACACATATTCCCCAGAAGGGGATTGAAGCATAGGAAAACAAAAAAACAACATCTTGAGCAAAACCAGGTTAATTGCGCACACCACTCTCGTCTTTGTTGTACCGTTGAACATGTACAATTTCATGGGGGTCGAAAGCTGCAACATTTAAGAGTTAAACTAAACCATGTAGACAGGTGGCAGCGCCGTGCAAATGGGCCACGAGAACATCAAAAGTTGATTCGTCTGTAAGTGGTCTTAAGGATGTGGAATTCACTACCTTAATTGCTTACAAAACCTTTACAACCGACAAAACACCAAGCCCAAAACAAACACACCTCCTTTTGAAAATATGAGGCCATGTTGGTGCCACCACTCCAGGCAGGAACAAAAACAAAGGTCCCAAAATATTGGTTGAAACAACACAACATGACACCAAAATGGTGAGTATGTGGCCAAGGTCTTTGCTCAGGTTGAGAGGGATATCATTTGGAACCTGATGCACTGGCTACCTAAAGACAAACAAGTGTCAAACATCACCTTCTTTAATAACCAAGAATATATCCTCCAGCGTCCCACAGAAGAGCCCCAGCCCAGGCCACCAAAGAAATAAGTTGGACCGGGGGACGCATGGTGGCATCCCACCTGAATCTGCCTTGGCACAGTAGGCGACGCCGGAGCCCGTGCACTTCACCTGCATGACGAGAAAGAACTCAAACAGTCTCTTCCATCAGACTCGTGTCGTGGAAGCACTTCCTGACAAGCGTGAGCCCAGAAAATCTCGTCAGGTCACCATGAATTCATCTCTCCACTCTCTCCTGTTGTCCCAGCACAAACAACGGCAGCGCGGCTGCACGGACGGTTTGCTGCTTTCATGCATGCTGCATGCCCTATGCACTGCTCTAACCTTGCTAGAAATACCAAATACGTGCCGCACAGAACTCAGATTAGCTTTGCTTTGGGGCAAACATTTCAGATGGTTCTGGATTTTGCGCAAAGTATATCGAGCAAATAATACAAATACCAGTGTGTTTTACATGTGTAGAAGAAGTCTTCCGACACATGGAACTATGTAACCTGCTTTGGTCAACGCCATGACCTCACCTTCCCTGCAAGTTGCGTGCCGGCTGCCCCAACTATAGACCGCCCCTTCTGTAATGTCGCGGCTCAACACCCAAATGGTCGCTTGTACAAACGTTTAACAACGTTTATCAATAATACTGCCCTGCTTTGCTACTCTACCATCAATCCAGCGCTGGAATCTTCCCCGGCCAAAGCCCAAGTGTGAAGCCGCTCTAATTAGATGGCTCAGGACGAACATTGGCCAGAATATTGGACAATACCAAGTGAATCTATAAGTAATTCTGGCTCGCTGAAGCCAGAAGAACTTGCGGGACACTAAATTCGGCAAATGTTCACTTCATTCCATTGCCTGCTGCACAAGTTTGCAATAATGAACTAGGGATTCTTTCTGCATGCCTCTCCCCCCGAGATAACCTAGCTTTTTGATCTGACCAGTTTGGGTGCCCATTCATGTGCCTAGCTTGGCTGTATGCATGGAATCTTCGGAACCGCAGCCACAGCCCCTCTTGTATGAATATGTTGCACCTGATAATGGCACCCAATAATGGAACAATACTTGGAACAAATAGAATGGCCACACTCATGAACATTGAATAAACTTGAATAAACTTGTCACCGCTTGCACAAGCAACACCTTTCTCACAGCACCAGACCCTTCGGCAGGCCAACAGCGCAGCAATCCATGCAGGTCTTGGAGGACAATCATCACTAGTGTAAACAGTGTAAACACTTACTCTTCATGAAGAGTGTTTAAACTCCCAATTCCGGCAGGTCGTACTCATCAAGCGTCTAACTCGTCCGGGCTTTCCACCACCCCCGTCCGGCCCCGTCCCCCCGTTTATATACTCGTCCGCAGGGGATGCCGCCTCGTCCCCTTTGCAGGGACAGCCCTGCTCTTCAGGCTCGCAAGTGCGGTCAGCTGAGCCCTTGGAGGGTCTGCGGTCAGCGGTCCCACCGGTCCCACCCACACTCCGGTCCGGTCCCCGGTGACTCCGAAATGCGCTTCTTGGATCTCAATGGTCCCAAACACGCACGACATCCATGGGACTGGCATATATTTACCTATCATTTGCGGTGGTTTCAGGGTGTTGACCCCCTTAATCAACTACCATGTGTGGTTTGGATGTTTGGGATGTTTCAAGGTTGCACCACCATGTGGTGATACTTAAGGCTGGTGACAGGGTAGGTTCTAGACATGTGGTCACCACTGGTGAAGTGGTTGTTCTTCGTGAAGTGGTGACGTGTTTATCCACAAAACTATCCGCCAGTCGGACAAACCAACTATTCCACAACAGGGCTCACCAGGCTTCGTCATGTCCTTGCGATACTTCACGCTTCGACCTGGGTGTGTACATCCCTAGCACTCCAGTCGTACCTCCTCAGGTTCGGTATGACTGGACCCTCCCGGCACTCACCCACCCCAGTCCCACCTTCTCAGAAGGCCCGACTGGAGGTGTAGGGTTCATAAAGAATCAAGCGTAGACGTAGACGTAGCCTACCCAGGAGAAGCCCTGTGGCTGGCTGTGACGTGGATGCGTATAGCCCTAGGGCATACCAATCAAACCCATGCACATTCGACCCCTTGGACCTCTGGCCGACACCGGACCTCTCTTCCCGAAGAGAGGTCGAAGGGTCCCCTTCTCCACGACTCTCCGATGGCCAACACGTCTGACACAGTGCATCGGGTTCTCCAGCGGCCTCCGTTCTTGGGCTCGGACCCCAACAAAAATGGGCGGCGTCGAAGCATCGCCCCGTTTTTCGAAAAAACAAAAAAAAGAAAAAAGGGTGGTATCTCCATTCATCGCCCAGGAGAACCCGCTATACCCCCTATACCAACCCGATGTCGTTTCATCACCCCCTATACCAGCCCCCTCAACCTGCCACCACCTACGACCTTTCAAAACCTTCAGCCCACCGGACGTCGGAGACGTCGACGTCAGCACTGCGGGAACGCGCCGGGCGGCGACGGTGGGCTGGCTGAAGAGGTCGGTGTCCACCGTGAGACACTCGGTCCTCGGTTCCGCGAGCGGAGGGGGAGAGGGTTGCCGGTTGCCCGGGATGCACTTGTGAGGTCAAGAACTCAGTTTGGAGGTTGGAGGTTGGCCATGTGGGACCCCAACAACATGTTAACCTGAAGAACATGAAGAATATATTTCTTTTTTTGTGATGATATGTGGTCAACCTGGTGATGGAACATACTTTAACTCGCCTGCACCTAGAAAGGGACTGAACGAGAAAGATCATCTCCGCCCCGAAAAACAGGCCATCTGTGAGTTTTGAGAGGGGTACAGTTACAGGGAGTCAACTAACACTACGAGCGGGACCATGGGCCTTGATACACGCATGTGGTTCACGTGATTGACCATGGTCCCTTTTCCTTCGTTCCAGTCGTTTGTTGGCGCTTTTCTAAATTCGTAATTAAGCACCTTGATGTGCTTGAATCCGCAACCAGCTTTGCTTTCTTTCGGCCACACCCTTAGTTTCTTGCCTTCGTGCCTTCCGAGCATTCGTGTGTTCTCGCTATAAATTGTTGCATGCATTGGGGACCAACCAAGTTGTGCCTCGGTGTCAGATCATTGCAAAGAGGAAAGAGAGGCCAGTCGTTTTGTTGGCGTCACAAAACGAAGCGAGAGACATCTGACGCTGAAAACTTTAAGAAGCGACGGGCCACAGTCCAGGGACGGCGCCCCAACACGGTGGCTTGGGTGCCGAGCATTTTGGGACTATGGTATACAGGTGTTGTACTGTTGTTGTTTGTTGTTTGTTGTTTGTTGTTTGTTTGGTTTGTATTTTGTTTGTTGTACTTCATTTGTACTTGTTGTTTTTGTTTGTCCCTAGACCTCCAATGACCTTCTTTGCGAGCACGGGTGGGTGGCGGAGGGAGAGAACTGTGATCAACACTCACAAAGCGACCGAAGAGCCTCGGTGAGTGGCGGTGGATGAATCAACAGGGGAGCCACCCCAAACCAAACAAGAATCTAACTCAAAACATCTCAAAACAATGGACCAGGATGGACCAGGGTTCCTTGATCATTTTGGGGACAACATGTTTTAGCTTCGTTCAAGGTAGTGTTTAGATGTGTTTACTCTTTTTGTTGAGAGTACGGCCATGTATCGCCACTACTCAGTCGGACCAGTTTGGAATCCGAGGCCATCCAGACTGTACCAAGGCGCGCATGAATCGTGCCCCACAAGCCAATCGATTGGTGGTGTCAACTCACTTGAAATATATCAGTCAGTAAAATCAACCATCCCAAGCAAAAATTGCACAAAAAAGAACAAACACATTTGAAACCCTTACTTGAGCCCACTGGGTCTCTGGGGCCCTTTCTCGGCCAAGCTCACGTTAGAAGAAGCAATTGCCACGGTTTCTGGGCCGACTCGGCAGCGAATCGCATGTGTTCGGCCGTGGCTCTGCATGGACTCGCAGCTTCCTGCGGATGGCGAGCCATCGACCGAGGAAGGTCGGAGGTCGAGGAAGGTTGGAGGCCGAGGAAGAGATAAGTCGGAAGAGATGGGCACCCTTGATAAGGCCGAGGGCCTTGTTAAAGGAACTCAATTCCACCGAGATCTCGTGTTGTTTCACTGATCTCTCTCAATTTTTATCTGGGGGCTTTAGGAAATTGAGATACCCGAACACCACGGTTCAGTGGAGAACCAACTCACCGGTTCGGTTGGCAGCTTCATGTTTCCAAAAGAAGACACATGTCTAAACTTCAACGCTCTGTAGCCTGTATAGCCTCCCCCAACATTGCTGCACCACATGATGTTTGTTTTTAAGCCTCAGTCCGAACTGAAAACATCTCAAGACACACATACAGAAATGGTGGAGGATCAATCCATGTTTCTTTCAATCGGTCGACCGTGTGTCCGTCGTCCGATCCAGTCAAACCAATGACTGATGTGTGACCAAAACGCTGACCAAGTTGCTTTCAGCCAGAAATCAAATCAGGACCATATCTACAGAACCAGTTTGCTTCGGTTCTGTACGGTACATCAACATTTGATGTTGATTGGTTATTGGTCTTTGGTGGTAAATGCAATCAAGCAAGCACCGCTCGACCACTCACTGACTAATTGTACACCGTCCCATCTGTTCAGAGCTGAAAAAAGAAACAAACACATCCGCGTCTCCTTGGTTGCATTTCATGGTGTCGCTTTCACAGAAGGGCATGTACGCTGTGCGACCTGAAGCAGGGCTGTGTCCATCACTATGTTGCATCTACCTTGGGTGTATCCTATTCCCTGTAACAGTGGATAATGACAGGTTAGTAAAGGCCTTGCTCTAAAATAGTGATTAATTAGTTGTTTAATCGACTGTTACAGGTCAGTTCGGACACCCCAACATCTACCAACCAGATGATCGGACGATCGGATGATACACACGACTCATCAGGTCTAAGAGCTTCTTGGTGAAGCCCTTGGTGAAGCCCTCGGTGAGGGTTTGAGGGTTTGGCAACTCCACGGAAATACATACTCCGTCACTTGTACTTGCAAACATACTTGATGCTGGCAGAGAGGTGTAGTAATTCTGAAGTTTCTAGGTCGCTTCGCTTCGCTTCGTTTCGCTTCGCTTGGATACGTAAAAAGAGTCATTCGAAACTTTTGGCCCGGAAAACTGCTGTATGCAAAACAGTTCTAAACTGTAGCGAAACATCTAAAAACGGACATTCCGAGCAACCCTTACAGCCCTTGAGCCTCCTCACAAACAACCCTCTCCGTCCAAAAACATCACAAACGTGGGAAATATATACACTTTAAACACGTGGTCCATGCAAACGATACGTTCAAACATACTTAAACATGGCCCCTCAGGGGCGCAGTGACCTAATTGTACTATATGTAGTACTATATACCTCACCAAATCCTCCGTACTATCCCTAAGGCCCAAGGAATGGCAATTTTTCCAATGCCATGTTGCCCAACCGAACAGCGCGCCCCTCCGAAAGTCGCCGCCGCCGTAGTACGCAGCTTCGCTCCCCCTTCACGGCATCGCACTCGCTGAGGCTCGGGCAGCGTTTGGTTCCCTCTGCGCAGGTGAGGTTATATTTGGTCCCATCCTTAGACATGCGAAACAAGCAAAAGAAGGACCACCTTGGAAGTGCATTCATCCCAGCGACCACCTTCCCGGTGTGACCACCTTCCCGGTCTGACCCTGGTGGCCGGCCCCTGGAAAGACCGTGTTCACCATGTTCCGCTACAAACAGATCTCCCAAAACCACCAAAAATGACTCCCAACCTGTAGGTCCCTGTGCCAAGTGAAGTTGGATTTATTGGAAGCCATCACTGCCATCACCAGCGCGGAAGTGGGCAAGGTAGCCTCCCTCACAAACTGGAAGTGGAGTTCACCCCCTGTTGGTAGAGGATTTATCTTTCCAGGGGCCATGCCATCCACGTACCTGGAATAACATCATGGCCAAAGCTTGCCAAGTCCGAAAATAGTTTGATATACAGAAACTCTACGGTTCTCTACATATGTGCAGCGGTCAAAACATGCTAGTACTCATGCTAGTCATTCAGCTTCCATGGTATGGCTCGTCACAGAGTCCCGAGTCCCAATCCAAAAAGAAAGAAGCCTGCAATCTCTCTCAACCCGGAGGATTCTTTGTGGTTCCTCTTGCTCCCACATGAAAGCTGTTGTTTCAACAAAATGCAAAAGACTGCAAAAGCCTTCGACAAGCTCTTTCTATCTGGCATGAGGAACGCTTTAGTAGCATTAGTGAATTCTGGCTCTATACATGGGGAGGTGGCTAGGACTGGACTTCTGAGGTATCGCTCGAGGTATCGTTTGGTATCTATTTGGGTATCGCCCTAAAAGCAACATGTTTCCAAAACGTATGTCGATATATCATTGGGAGTTAGCATATTCCTGGAACAGGTATCGCTCTTCACGGTTCGCTATTGCCACACAGTGATTGCAAGGTTTTGCAAAGTCAATGGCGGTTCACCTTCAAAACTCTTCATAGGACGTTTTGGCCCTTGCATGCCCTTGTTCATATCTGTACTCCCAAAAACATCCGGTGATATACAATCTCAGAGTATTTTTGATTGCTCTCTTCAGGTTTTGCCGTGAAAAAAACCTTCCAGCTTCGTATGGTTATAACTTGGGACTGAATTCAGTCTGTTCAGTCTGTACAGCACTCTGTCAGTACCCTCAGTCGGTGCAGTCTGTTCAATCCCAAACACTCCAATGCCACCTTTGCCTAAACAGAGGTGCCTATACCTTGAGGTGGTGTTTCTTCAGTGCGTCCGGTGACGGCCGTCGGATGAAAGATATGTTCTTCCCCGTCGGCGGGTGGCGCGTCCAAGCCGTGGGTGCGTCCAAGCCGTGGGTGCGCAACCGGACTTCTGCTCGCAACCAGACTGACTGAAGGCTTAGGTTCTGACTTCAGTACCCTTTCCAAGTCCAAAGACATGTTTTGTGACCAGGAGAAGGATGATATGTTTTCTTCATCCTTCCAGTGGTTCAGTAGTTTTGGATCCATCTTGAAGTATCAAAGAATGAAGGAAGTTCTCAGACTCGGATCACTGTTCATTTCGTCAGACCATTCTCATTTTCTCAATCCCAGGCGCCGTGGGATGGCCGCCGGCCGTGCAGTCGGCTTCGGTGACAGAGGCGAAGTCCGTCATGATGGAGAGCTGCGGTTTTCGCTGCGGTTTTCTTGACAGAGGACACTACCCTCTATTATGTGTACAACCAATACCAGGACCTTCCAACAGGTGGTTTGTGGGCACCCCTTAACCTCCAAGTGGCTATGTATAGACACCCTTTGGAAGGTCCTGGTATAGATATATTGATATATGCAGTATATGGTACCTGGCGCTGGACCCCTCCAAAAACTCCCGTTCGTTCAGACATCATATGACATCATGTTCTCTGAAATCATCATGGGCTCGTGACTCGTGGAGTGATTTCATCACTGACTTCGAGCCATCGTGGTCATCTGACCTCTGGGCCATGTCATCCACTTCCACCATGAATTCCAGGCAGTGGAATAAGGAGGTCGAGGGTCCAGCGGGTTGGGGATGGTTGGGGAGCATGGTGAAACGTGAGAAGTTCACATCGAAGATGAGTGAAGAGGTGGTCTTTTTTATGGAAGCCCTGCCACCCACGGTCTCCAGGGTCTCACCATCCTGCAAATGGACCACGTGATCCATGAGCCAAAGCTCTCAGATGCTCATCAAACCGCAATCTAGCATGGCATCTAAAAATGGACCTTTCGAAGACGATTTTCCTGCACCGGGCGTGGTTTTGGGCTTCCATATGGTTCCATGTTAAGTATTGTGACCCACTGGATAGACGAACCTGCACCATCGACGACACGATGCTGGCCTTCAAGCTCGGGTTCAGTCCGGCGAGACCGAGCAATTCCGGCCATGCGAACGGGCCTGCTTCACACCCTCCAACCAGGTGGTGATGTGCGAACAATTCGCGGCGTTCTGGGCGAAGCAACCTCGGGCGAAGCGACCATTGGGCCCACCAGCCAGCCGCAGCTTCAGTGCTTCTCAAGCCAGTCCTGATTGGTATAGTGATGCACTGTACAATGATTAAGTTCATCATCAATTAGCATTATCCTATACGCAACAACGGATTGCAATCCAACATAATTCTGCCTTAGAGGAACCTGAAGCAGACTCGTAACCTACGTATATATAAAAGCTTCAAAACGCAGCGTTCTTTGAATCAGGACATGTGACATGAAGCACCTGTTCAATCGTTTTCGAAGCACCTTCGACAACTGAACAACGAATTGTCCAACATGTTCTGACTCCGAAATGCGATCGAACAGACGTCGCTCCGAGTCTGTGAGCTCAGCAAAGACGTCGCATAACACCCGACCCGACGGACAGTACGACCTAGGTCTCCGCATCCGACCAAGGTCTCCGAATGTCAGGAGAACAAAGGGAATCCGGGAATGCTATGGAATGCCGTGAATCCATTTGGACTGTTGTGTGGTTGAATGGTATTTGCTGTTGCTTTCCAATTTTTTTCCGCTACTTCACGTTTCTAAAGTGAGGGAGGCCCCTCCAAAAATCTCGCGGTACTGGATTGGCGACCCATCGCCGCACTTCCAGATCAACATAGACCAACTCTTGTGCCGGTGACCGCTTTACAGGGAAAGCAGGCCTGGTGGTTCTGGACTATTTATGCTTTCAAAGATCGGAACTGGTGGGTCTAGCCCTGGATTCAATGCACACCATACATATCCATACCTTGAGGATAGAATCTAGAAATTGGTGATTGGTGATATGCCATGAAATGGTGTTTTGTGAAGCAACGTGGCCAGAGTTTTGCTTCTTTCGTGTTGCTTCAATGATTCAACACCTTCAAAGACTGTTCTCATATGGGTTCTCACTCTCTTCATTGGTTGGATCCGATTTCTAGATGGCCAACGCGGTACGGATCTTCTGTCTTGCCTAGGAGCTTTCTGCATGGATGAGTGGGCAAGCAGCAGACATGACCTGAGAAAACAGGAAGAGCTGGCTCAAACGGAGCTCATGAATCCTGGAAGTTCTCATTGGTTCAAGGCACAATGGTCATACCCATCCAATCAAACCCATGTCACTTGCAAAAACGACAACCACTGCTTGTCCACGCACTATAAGAAAGCAACTGGTTGGTACTACACCTGATAAAGTAATATTATATAAACATATATATCACAATATATCATAATACACTTAGGTCGTTTGTTAGCTATAGAGGAAGAACCGGCTCCGCACATTCATTCCACACACGCCCAGCCCCTGCCGGACGACGCTGAGAACACAAGCAGATTTCTGAACTCCCTACCAGTAGATTAAAAAATGATGCCGCCATCTGGTAACATTACATAACGATTCATTTGATCGTCTTCTTTTGTTACGCTTCTTCACCCCATTTCACCACTCCCAGCCCGAAAAACCGTCCACCTCCACCAGCATGCGGACACTTCAAAGCCGTTTGCACCACCCGAAACCCACCTGGGGCACCCACCTGGAAGGTCATCTCCTTCGGCCGGTTGCGTCCCACATCCGGGGGCCACGGCAGTGAACAGTGTTGGAAGCGATATGTATGGGTTATGAGAGGAACATCGAATTCTAGGTTATTGTGGTTATGGTATTTATGGTTATTTATGGATATTGTGGTTTATGGTTATTTATGGTTATGGTTATCTATGGTTATTTATGGTTTATTTTTGGTTACTATGAAGTGAACTCATGAGATATTTCAACAGTCAACAGTCAACCGGAAACAAAGCAATTGCTATATATATATATATATATTGGCTTCTATTATGAGAGGGACGGGGGTCTCAAATAGAACTCATGATGACTGTTGATCAATCCAACAAGGTGGGTTGATCAAACAACATTTGGAGAACCTCCAGTCTTTTCTGACGTTTTGGAGACCAAGAAACTTTCGTCTACGCATGTACGCCCAAAAACGATGAACATGCCACAGCCTGCATGGATGAAGGGGATATGAAGGGGCCACTTGTCCAGCCCGCCAAAGCCAGTTTTCATGATTTTGCGACCCTTCCCTCGGTGCAATGGGTGCTTCACCACCATGATTTCTAGTTCCAACACCTTCAAGGGTACCAGGATCATCTTCAAGGGCACAAGATGGTCGCACGAGAGTCCAACCTGTGGACACCGGGTCACCCAATTCTTTGTACACACAAGCTCGGCCACGTATCTCTCATTCATGACCCGGCTAACATCATGTATACCATGGGCACCTTCCCTCGTCAAAAATACTAATGTTGTGTGTACAAAATGGTTCTATATGTTACATCAGCGCAAAAGGAGAGTATCCAAAACAAGGTTTATGAGACCCGAGGATTTGTTGCTACTGAGCGCAAAAAAGTACGATTTGTAGCGGCTGAGCCCTTGGGAACGTGCCTTTCACCCAGCAAGTGCAAAACTACTTGCGAGGGCTAGCTAAGTCTAAGGTAGACATATAAGTGCTTAGTAGTCACCTAGAACAGACTTGGCTAAGGTAGACTTAGCATGGATTTAATTTAGGCTGAACTTACTTACTGCAAATCCTAAGTGCGAGCTAAGCCAAACTAAGTCTTCTGACAGTTTTCTTAATGCTGAAGGGAATATATAAAGAACACTGTTTGACTGATTTTTATGTCCCTTTGGCTTTAAAGGGGAAATGTGTCAGAAAATGTTCTGGAATTCTTTTCCTGTTACTTTACGTAGTCTTACTGTTTTTGTATCACTGTCAAACATAGTCAGGACTTGACTAAGATTCAGTTTTCAAATTCAGTTTGGACTAAGGTGGGACTTGTGTGTGACTGACTACACAAGTCCAACCAAACTCCAAGGTTCAAGTTAGTCTCGTTGATTTAAAATCGACTTGGCAAAGTCAGACCTAAGCAAGTACTGATCTCCGCAAAGTTGTTCAGTCCAAACTAGATCAAACCTTGCGCAATCCAAACTAAATCAATCCTATAACCTCTATGCTCTATGGAGGTAAAAAAAAATTAACACAAAATAAAACAATGGGTAAAAATAAATTAGAAGGTGTACAGTACAACCTAGGTTGTAAGTCCAAGTTGATGATATCCCCAGCAGGTAGAAAGATCGGAGTCGCAACAAAGAGTTAATCACCATGCTCTTCAAGGAACGCATGTGCCATGAGGTGGACATGCGGTGGAAGCACCTGGAACAAACGCTTGCGTAGGAATGTCAATCTCTGGACCCCAGATCGTTGGAGGATGTTGGACGGGTCACCTAATGCCAGAATACTTGGACCACAGGTTGGCACTGTTTGTAATTAATGTGTTGTGGCCATTGGCAATGGGACAGGCTAGAGGTTGGAAACTGTGTTTGGAACCGTAGGTGGCCCCGCAAAACAACCGTAGCTGTAGACAACCGATAAGTAGTAGTACGTTTACTTACTAATTCCACCCCCTAAAACACTTGGTATTATTCACTTCCCCGGGGCTTGTCCACCAGCCCCTTGAAAATTTGTTTTGGAGCAACGAAATCAATGAGTTTAAATACGGATTATAACAAAAGGTCTTCAGGTCAGAGTTCCGTGAATCAGGCAAGCTGTAGTAGTAGTAGTAGTAGTAGCAGTAGTCGTAGTCGTAGTCGTAGTCGTAGTCGTAGTCGTAGTAGTAGTAGTAGTAGTAGTAGTAGTAGTAGTAGTAGTAATAGTAGTAGTAGCGGCAGTGGTAGTAGTAGTAGTAGTAGCAGTAGTAGTAGCAGTAGCAGCAGTAGTAGTCGTCGTGGTGGTGGTGGTGATGGTGGTAGTAGTAGTAGTAGTAGTAGGAGCAGCAGCAGTAGCAGTGGTAGGTAGTCGTAGTAGTTAAGCAAGGATCTTAAAGGGCAGCAACAGCGAAAATGCCCCCACCGAAGGTGCTGAGGCGTTGTCTCCAGTTCGCCTAAACCGCTACAGTATAATTGCATAGCATAGCTTAGCTTTAGCTTGAAACATGTTTGCTCTAGAATGCATTGTTTGTTTTTTTGAAAGTTTTTAAAGCACGTACAAGAAATCGGCAAGCCATCGGTGATGTCGGTTGTTCTGCCCGAGTGAGACTGCATTATTGACATCATGTGTGCTTGCCACTGCAGAGACCGACCGAGACATACAGACCGAGACAGACAGACAGACGCCCAGTATCCGTGCGGGCGGCTTGGACCGCGAAGCGGTGTGAATAGAACAACAATGATAATTACACACACATCTTTAAAAAGCACCCTGGGGTGAAAAAACTGTGTTGATCTCCTCCCATAAAACTATTCAGGGTGTGGGAATAGTTCCTTAGGATCTGACATTAAGCACTTATATAGAGCTAGCTAAGTCCAAGCTAAATCAAACCTAACCTTACAGAAAGGTTACTAGATTTAAAGCAAGGGTTACTAGTAGTAGTTTACTAGATATATATGAATATATATATAGTTATAAGTTTAAGTCAAAAATATAGTAAAATATCATAAAATATCGTATAGCCACTCATATAGCCGGCATGTGAACAAAGCCTTATATATGTAAGACCCGTAAAGGTCGTGATGATTTTCGCATGAGCAAATGGCTACATCCAGCAACTACAGTTATACGGTTCGAACGAGATGTTTGAAGCCACATGTGCGCGAGTACACGCATCAAGAAATCATGGTCCCAAAACCAGAAGACCCCTATATATACATATATATAATGATAACTGTTATTGTTCATGTTGCTGATGCCTCTTGGCGTATATATATATATATATATAGTAACAAAAAAAATCCTCCAGTGAACACTCACATAGACCCTGAAAATTAGAGTCTTTGAGGAACCCAGTCGTGCTAGCTGGGTGCCCTCCTTCTAGCTGGGTCCCTCAGTGCTTCTTTTCGGGAGGGTTGATCGCTCTTCTGGGCACCTAGGTCGACCACGAACCGACACCTCGGACGGACGAACCGACCGGCTCAGTCCTCCTGCAAGGCTGGGTGCATTGGATCTGCCTCGGTGAGGTGCTGTGAGTGACACTTCTCGTGCTTTGTCCTGGACTTCCGTTCAGCACGACAGCATGGTGTCTTTTTGGGGGAGAACATGAGGTGGGCATCTGAACCACGAGATACTGAATTGACCTGCACTGTGTCCAAAGATGTTGCTAAAGTATCCGGAGATGATCCGGAGATGTGTTTGTCTCTAGCCTACTAGATGTCTGGTATGTCACCCCCCCACCTGCGAATTCAGTGTAAATCAAAGCCCTGCAGCACGTGCAAAGCTTATGCTGATTCTTGGCTCCGAAGGCGTGCTTTGTCCGAGAAGCGGGGTCATTGAGACCCCCACATGGAACATGGCATGGATCATGGACCAGACTGGAAGACGATCGCTTCCTTCATACCAACCCGACCGTGGAAGACTCAGGTTTCATGTGGGTCTCGGATATGATGGCCTCTCGAGACGTATGGTCTCCTGGTTTTGTTAAGCCCAAGTCGTGAAGACAACAAAAACACATGGGGTGTTCAACGACACTGGAATGACGCATCTGTTTGCTAAACTATTGGAAGGCTTGAAAAGGACCTGCCAAACTGGGTTGGTTCATGATGCTACATGTGTTTGTATGTTTTCATAGGGCCTTAGGTCGTCTCATTCTCGTCACCGTGGTACCCTGCGGTCGGCTCAGCCGGCCTGGGACACAGGGGCGACCTGCTGTGTTCAGCTCAAATACAAACATCTTCGATCGAACCCCAATTAGAATAGCATTGAATAGAATATCCAGAAAAAGAAGCGGGTAAATAGAATTGATGAGATCTTCATTGATAGAATGCTCCAAAAGTCTAGATGGAACAAACAGTACTCTTTAGCTCGGTTAATCAACATATGTCAATGACATATCAACTTTCCCTCTTGAAAACCCTGCTTCTTAAAAAGAACAGTCCTGAACGTTTCCTAACAGGGGTCTTCAACTCTTCAACCATAAACCCATTTCTTAGGTTTATGGAGTCTTCAATCCTTTGGACAACCATAAACCTAAGAGTCCAAAGAAACTTCATCTCCACTTCTGCTCATGATGCGGTCCACCACTCCAGGTCCGGCACCCCAAGTCCTTCGGGGCATGCCCTCGCAACCCGTGCTGTTTGCGCGTTAAGTGGCATTCATCACCATCAAGATGCCGGGTCGCCTTGAGTCGAAGAAACCCGAACATTTGGAGGCCATCGCCCATCGCTAGTAGGTTGGAGGCCATCGAGAGTAGGGTGGAGGCCATCGCTATTAGAAACAAATAATTAAAGGTCTAATATAGTTTGCTATTAGGTTGGAGGAACAACCTGGAGTCGACAGTCTGGAGTTCACTTTCCGGAAAAAAAAAACGACAGAAGAGGAAGGAGAAAATGTTGGCACAAGAACAGCCAGCCGGCAAGCCACCATCAAAGAACTCTAGTTCTCGGACGTCGTCTGACGGATCATGAGATACCTGAGACCTTGGGAGATACCTGAGACCTTGTATGACCTTGTGGTGCAAAGAACAGTTCATGTCCCAAGTGGTAAGTTCCTCTAAGTTCTGTGCCGCAAAGCCTGGTGCATCGGTCCAACAAACGTTGGCTGAAGCGAGAGACGGTGAGCTGAAGGTTGGAGTGAGCTGCGTGGTTTAACCCTTGACCTTATGAAACCCTACTGGCAAAATCCATAGGATAGCCTATATGGTTCTTCAACCTTGGTTGGAATCTCTGCCTAGCGCAGGAGACATCCCAGTTTCCATGTTAAGTGCTTGGGGATTGCTCGCTCAATTCACATGACCTACGTCGTTGATTTGATCATATGATTTGAGCGGAGACTTGCGCCGGTCCAATCTCCACAGCAGGTTCGGAATTGGCCCAAGATCTACAGCAGTTTCGGATGGCCAGAGCACTGGATATCAAACAACCCCTAATGGGGCCCCGGAGATTACATCATGAAGAGGAACGGTAGAAATAGAATGAAAAGAAGAATTAGAAGAAGAAGGCAAACCCTAAACGTTGTTGGCCCTAATTCGTTGGGCCTCAAAAGGTGCCGGCCCAGGCGGCACCTCATCTCGTCCCGTCTCGTCCAAGCTTCATCTCTCGGCCCGTGGTCTCCGGTTGGAGCCCAAAAAGTACATGTGGCTTCTCCAACACCCCAATCCAACACCCGGGATGGCTGGACATATAAAAAAAGAAAAATACAAAACATGTCAAACAAATTGTCTGGGGAATCTCCACTGATCATCTGAAAACATGGTATCTCCAGGTGCCACCTCCAGAGATACCTGGGCCGGTTCCAACCAGCCAAACTTCCATCTTGCACTCTCAAGTCTCTCAAGACGGTCATAAAGACGGTCTCGCAAGGTTTAGCAAGGACTTCTGAAAAGAAAAAGCTGGAAATTCAATGGGCTAGTGACTAGTATAGTCCGGCGTAGAAAATTGTTTTAGGCCTCATCAACTATTACTATATATTACCAAAAAGTGTTGCTAAATATTGCTCATGTTGACCCCGGCATAATATGTATTGGACATGTCTATCTATTTGGGGACCCAAAAGAAAGCTGGGAACACCCGGTTCTTCACGTAACATGACCCTGCAACCATCCCCGTCACCTGCCGGTTTTCCGAGCAAGATTTCCACCGTCCGTCCGTGGCCAGTCTTTCCAGTCCAAGGGGCACCATGTAATCCACGATAGTCTTCACAGCACCAGGGCCTCGTTTGGAGCGAAGCCGTCGGTTCACGGCGTCGTCTCTGGTTGTTCACGGCGTGTCCGCGCGTGTCAGACTGGAAACTTCCCGCATTCCAGACTCCATACTCAAGTCTCTAGGTGCAAAGTAGGGTTCAACAATTGGGTTTTGGTGATTTGCTAAGCCTTTTCTCAAAAGAATCTGACCTTCAATCCTGGGAGGAATTACAAGGGTGAAGTTATCCAGGATCGCAAATTCCTGAGTGCCGATTCGGGAGTTGGCCAATAATTACAAACCAGACGACCTGAATTGACTTGAAGAGTTGACCGTGAATTCACCTGTGCAAGGCTTCGTTGCCAAGATTGGGTTTGCCAAGCACTCCGATCACTCAAACTGGTGAGAACATGTGATGGCCCGTTTGATGGTTGGCTTGATTTACAGCCGTTTGAACTAACCACAAAAAACAACATGAAACAAGGAACCCAATTTGGGCAATGTGAGGTGAACAACTGTCGTTGAAAACTCGATGAAGGGATGGCAAAAGAGATGGCATGATGTGAGATGATAGCAACCAAAATAGAAAGGTGAGGCCAAAAGAACGCGGTTGCAAGCGGGACGCCAAACAAAACATGCGACAGCCGTTGCTTCTCCAGAATCTTTGATGCCATCCATTGATTGGGGTAAACGCGACGTTGGGCGGATCCTTGGACCCCTTCCCACCATGGGAACCAAAGCGGCGGCCGATGCGTCACTTCGGGTTTTGACCACCTTAAGAGCCCTTGGACCATTTGGACCTTCCGTGGCAAGGGGTTTGGACCCTCAAAACCTGATGCATTTGAGGGTGTGCATTCTTAGGGCCAAAGAGAATCAACATTCCAGTAGTCGCAACAGGGATCCGTGCAAAGACATGCAATGGTTTTGGTGCAAACAAGTTGTAAGCGACAAGCGTTGCAGCACCTTAGCATCATTCCTTTTGCAACATCCCACAACAAATTCCGACCAAGACCACACAAAACCAACAAACAAAACACAAAGATTCTCGGAAAACACAGCACTCACCAACTTTGATGCAATGACCAGCCAGGCTCTCCTCAAATCAGGACGGCAGTGTCGATGAAACACAATCTCCGAAAACACTATTAATATAGATTTGACGCACTCTCAAGCCCAACCCCTGAGTCAAGCCACAAGCGCAGGCGCAGTCCACGGAGCTGGCCATCCAATAAGGAGCTGGGCGCCGGAGCGTGGAGGGTGTGCAGGAGCAAGGCACAAAAACACCATAGCTTAGGCCTAGGTACAAAAACCTGGGGCGCCGGGTTTCTTCGGAACTCATACTCCAACTTGAGAGGGTCGCACTGAGTCGCGCTATGCCGACAAGCCGTACCCAAAGACAGGCACATGGACACGCGTGACAGTTAAAACCAAAAGCCACCAGCTCAAGAGATTGGGCATAGCCCCAAAAGAACACGTTCTGACCTTGCTCCAAGCCGGCACAAGCAGAACAACTCTAGGGAAGCGATTCTATTGCAGAAGTTGGGCAGCTGCATTGTACAGCTGCCATATACACAGGTGCCTCTTCTTTTGGAATGCTGCAAACATGACATGGCTCAGGCTGAAGAGACCGCTGGACCAAATATTCCTAATTTGTTTGGAAAGAGTTGCAAGCCTTGCCCGAAAGTTTTTAGCACATGTTTCGCCTCCTGAAGTCAACAAACTGTATGTTATTTAGCAAAGCTTGTAAGTCAACGCTTTTTTAGCCAAGGGTTTAACCTGGGCTGTCAATGATGGACAACCAAGCAACTCCAGGAACTACCCTCTGAATCCATTGTGAAGGTCTATGCAGCTATAATCCACATCAGCCGGGTCTTGACTGCCTTTGGGATTTTGGCGGTTGGGAGTAATCAGCTGGCTGCAAATGGGCGAATCTTCTCGCACCATATGTGGAGGATCACAGCATATCTTAACACAATATCTGTATCTCTGTGTGGCGCGACGCGGATCTCATGCTGTCAATGTTGGCACAAATTGAGTTCGCAACAGAAAGCAACGCAGCCTAAACCTCTCCTATTCCAACTCCTCTTGGATTCGCACACACTCGGGAAATGCGTACGTACGGTCTGTATGCCACCTGCCTTGAAGCTACTTAAGTAATTCAAGATGCCTAAATCACCAGGGCTGAAGTGTTCCAAAAGCTTCAAGGGAAGTTCACGAAATCAAGACATTCAGGACAGCACAGTTCCCAATTGCAAACGAGGAAGGACATCGCAAGCACACATCTGCCGAAGGAAAGCCGATGCAATGGTCAAAAGACCATTTGGGAAGTTCGCTGGTACAACGCAGGTACGCTGGGATGATCAGTCCAACCTGCTGCCACTCCCTGCAAATGAAAAACCGACCGAATACATTTGATTCCAAGGTGTACACACACACCGACACCTTAGAACTCCATCTTGGTTCTGATCCAATACATGATAGTGGACACAAGGAGTGTCAAACGGTCGGCACCCAAGTTTTGCGGTCATCGTCTGGGCCCTGAGAAGGACTCTGTTGCTCGGAGCCCACCAAGAACTCTCTGCCATGAGACTGTCGACGGCGTGCTTTTTGTAAAATGCAATGTATGATGCCTTGTGCCGGTGCTCTACCCTTCGGCATCCAAAAAACAGCAGCAACAACAACAACAACCTACGTTGGGTCTATACATAAATATATACCTTAAACATCCGGTGGTTGCTTTTCTCAGCCTCTTAGCAAAGAGGCTCAAATGTTAGCCTCTCCATTCAAGAGTTGCCGTTTAGAACAAAAACTGCCTCTCGTGTTTTCTGGTAGAAGGGAATCGGAATCTTGTCATTTGTAATGTTTTTGGTGGTCTTCCGCTGCTGCTGCCGACAGCTCGGATCTAGCAATATGATACAAGATTTTTGGTCAAACCCAAGCAAACAGAGGTTCATCATGCTTGCTAGCAACTGCGTCCAAGCCCAAATTAGGCATTTGAGTTTCATCATCAGGCCCGGCGTAACTCTCCGAGGTGTTTGGCGTCTGGAGGTCTTGCAAGGCAGAGTTCATAGGAGTAGGCAGTTGCTGGATCCTGAGCGCCTGCAACCGGCAGAAAACAAAGGTAAAATGTTTAGCCAGGAAATGTTCAGACACTGACTAGAGGTGAGTATCAATACCTATAGAAATGAACAGCCCCACCTTGGAGCTCTGACATCAGGGCATCGTCACCATCAAGTTTGTCCACATGTTTCTCTTCCTTCACTAAAGTCAAACCAGCCATCAGGGTCGAACTCGGAAAGACACGGGACGGAAGCTGACGCGCCATTTCCCCATTGGATTAGAGACGAGCATGAAAGCGGCAACCTGTCGACTTGACACTATCACTATGCCAAAAATTCATGACCCGGGAATTCCGCCTCTTACGTCCCGCCTCTCGTTGTTTCAGGCTTCATGTGTTTGCATGTGTTTAATGTTGTTTTCATGTGCGTTCATGTGTTTTAATATGTTTGATGTTTATTCATGTGGCTCTCCTGTGCTTTCATGATTTCATGTGGCTTTCATGTGTTCATGTTTTATATGTTTAATGTGTTTCATGTCGTTTTCATGAGCTTCATGTTTTTCATGTGTGTTTATCATATTGCGTGATATCATGTTCATACTTGCAATTGTCTACTTGGATTGGCCTGCAAAAAAGACCCCCACAAGTCCGGTTCGACCTGCCTGAAATGCAGGTTTTGAAGAGGCCCATCCAAGTGGAAAATTAGCAGTTCACATATAGATATAGATGTATCTACAAAGCTTCATGTTGTGTCTGCGCTCACTTTTCCACAGTGAGTTATCATGCCTTCATGTGTTTCATGCTTTATCATGCTTGAAATCATATAACTTACTGTATAGGTTTTGCTTCATGGTTCGGGGTTTGTTGTGTTTTCCTATATTCACGGTTATCACATGTTCTATCAACAGAACTGGGAAGAAATCGATGTTGTTCCCAAGAAACGCCTCAAACGCCAAAAAGAAGTTGCCTCTGAGTGGAACTGAGAGGCGCCTTCTAGGGAAAAGAGGCGCCTTCTAAGTGCAGCCCGGTGCAAAAGATTCAGGTGGTACATATTCCCTAGGGATCCAGTCGTACCTTCTCAGGTACGGTGATTGGAGACTATTCATGTAGGCGCCAGGAGGGCCCAGTCGTACCTTCTGAGGTTCGGTACGACTGGATCCCTAGGGATTGCCAAAGCCCCCTTTCTTCTTTTCCGGTGTGAATGTTTTCTTCGCCTCTCGGAGGTGTCCATATGTGTGGGGGGCCCTATAGTATGTATATATACATCACATTTAATTAAAACACCAACATATTGGCCCTAAAATGCCCTTAATATCCCTTAATTACCTTCAGTAAGGGGTTCTGATTGGTGCCTATACACTCGCAGGGCATTGTTGCAACTGTTGCATCTGAGCTATTTCCATCTTCTTTAGGCCGCCTGGCACAACATGCACAGACTTCAGCGACCCCACCCGAATTCTACAAACTGGCAACCACAAAAGGTTCAGCCAAGTTCAGAACCAATGTGCGAATCGCTCACCTTGGAAGCGGTAAGAACTCCCTAACCTTCGCCCAATCGCCCACTCGATCGCTGACCCCACCGGCTTCATCGGCTTGCTTCATGGGCGGTTCGAACCGCTCCAACCGAACACCGACGTCCGTCACCGACGGAATCGAGTCAATCCGAGGAGCTCAGAGGCTGATAGATCTCCGTCCACTGACCTGAGAGGGACCGGCGGTGCGTGAGGATGGTTCCTGCCGGGAACCCTTGAATCTCTGAATCAAGAACTGCTTGAATCCACTCATGTATACTCGAAGTCAGGGCCTAGGACAAGGGGCTGGGTTTCGACCTTTGAGGAGCCTTTGTTACTACTAGCGACCTTGCTACTATAGTAGTAAGGCCAGGAGCTACTAGTAGCGTCCATGCTCCTAGTAGCGATGCAAGGAGCCTCTAGGAGCTTCTTGAGTTACAGTTTGTGTTCCATCTTACACCAAATTCTTTACCGCGTCGCCCGCATTGGTGTTCTAGCGTGTATATGTTTAGAGACAAGTGTTGAGCAAAAAGAGCCGACTGTCTAGCTTGAACAACCCAACTTTTGCAAACGATCTCCGGGAATTCCAACAGGGTGCCCAAAATGGAACCACATGCGATGCTGCGATGCTTTAAAGTTTAAAGTAAACATCATATAGATCATAGGATTAGGAACCCTTCTCATGCCTTCTCTAATGACCCCCAGTGTGGAACATAGTATGGTACTAGTATCTAATATATGAACAGGTCTGATTGGCAAACCTATCGACATTCCGAGACCCGATGACCCGAGACCTGTTCCATGACTGCAAAAGCGTTCGGACGTCCCATTCTTCCACCCCACCATTTTGATCCTCGCCACCCCACTCGGTGAGAATCTCGGTCGGGATGGTGCCCCCCTAGGAGCGGGTTGAGGTGGAGCCAGCAGAATGGGCTGGCCGGAGCCAGTAGTGGAAGAGGTGCGAAGTGAGTTCGTGGTTCGATGCAGTTTGTGAACATGTCACACGGCACCAGGACGTCACGGGCTCTGGAGGTCACCGGTTCACCTCGTTTGGACGGTAGACTGAAGGACTGAAGTACCTCCTCAGGTTCGGTATGACTAGACCCTCCTGGCACCCACCCCAGTCCCACCAAACCTCAGGTTCGGTACCACTGGAGGCCAAAAAGGGGTTCGTGTGTTCAAAGGAGCTACTTGTAGCTGCTTGAGAACTTCAGCCCGTTGGCATCGCCGGGCTGAGGGTGCGAGGGAAAGCCACCGCTTCGGACGGCGGACGTACACCGTTCGCATCTGGACGTAGATGCCGTTCGGATCCAGAGGGGTGGATAGAATGGATCGCCAAGGGAAGAACTCATGAACCTCTATGAACCGACTGCATTTTGACCGCAAAGACACTGAACCCATTGAGTTGGTATAGCCTTAATTCGTAGAAACTTTTCAAAAGAAAGGGTTTGAAGATGTTTGAAGGGAACTACTCAGGGAACCTGGATTTCTAGCTCTGGGTTCTTGGTCTTCGAACAGCCTTCTGGAGCGGAATCTGGATTCGTGGCTGGCACGGGACACCTCTGAGCAACCAAAAGCTGATTGGAGGTCCTTCAGTGTCAAAGAAAACATAGAATACATTAAAACACTACAAAATACACACACCCACACACACACGCTTACAAAAGTACAACGCTTCAAAAGCAGGTACCGGACACAATCCCACCCTTCGTTCACTAGTTCTCTCATCTACGTTGATCTGACAGTTATGAAACTGGGAGGTGGGGGCCAGTTCCCTTGGCAACTTGGCGAGAAGCGATGCTCGGCAGGATGAAGGGGATGAAACTGTACTTCATGTAGAAAGCGCCTGGTGTGGTGTCTTTCAGCGGCACCCAAAGACAGTGTAGCAAAACATGGGAAGAAGCATTCGAGAAGCATCCAGGACGCTCAACAAATAACATCATAAAAGTAGTTATATTAAAAACAAAGCAGCGTCTGGACTTGGGCAAACAGTGCTCGCATTTGAATATGCTGGGATAATTTGGTCTTCTCATGATAGTTCATAACCACATCACCCACCAGACAGAACCCATGAGCAACGGTTCCTTCAGCTTTGTGCGATCGGCTGAGTCTTTTGTGCGACGCCACTTAGCTTGTGAGCAACACCAAAACCAGCCACCCCCACATGAAAACCGAAGACCCCACCGCTGGAAGACTATGCTGTTCCCCCTACTCATACCACAAGCCAATGGTGATGTAGGCTTCATGCATCCATGCTATTGGCTTGTCTCCCAAACCTGAACAAACCACAAATCAGAACCAAAAGCCATCTTAGGATGCATCCTTTCACCTCGCTTCCAGGCTGCCTACCTCCACGGTGCGCCGGTTCCGACGCGGCTCCGACATCGGTCGCCTGATTCCGTGTAGTCCGTGCAGCTTTCCTTCCTCGGTGAAGCGCGACTCCGACAGGGTGAAGACAGGGTTGACAGGTCTGAAGGTGAGACAGGTCTTCATGCTGAGGGCATGCTTGGTCATTGCGCATCCATTTCCACACATCCAAAAAGATATGAGGTAAACAACTGGTTCACACTCGGTGCCCAAAAAGCCATCAGCATCATCAGCCACAAATTGTTCGACTCAACTGGCAAGGAATCAATCCAGAAAAGCGAGGTAAGCGACAAATCTGATCATAAACCAAGGGGCGCTAGGGCGAAACGATCACACTCACCCTGTTTGAAGATGACGGACTCATCCTTAGGCCAAGGTGTGAAGAAGCAACAAACATGGTCTTCTCTGGTGTTTTCAGAAGCATGCTGCTGAACCATGGGAGGGTTGTTGAAGTGAACAATCGTATGGTGACCTGTGAGAAAGTGGTGAGCTGCGGTGAGCTGCTTTCTTTAATATCGCATGTTGGACACACATAAAGGGCTCCGTTGCCTTAAAGAGAGCAAAGGCCCTGCACAAGAAGACCAGGCGGCTTGGACAGGCGGCCGCCAAGGTATCTCTTTATTCGCAGGTCATGGCAGGCGCCGTGATTCGCTCACCGGTGTGGACCGGATCATGTGGAGCCAACTTGGCATGATCCTCTTGGATTTGGGTCCAAGAATACCGAAAGAACAAGCGGCATGAGTCGGTCATTGAAAACCAACCCATTTACCCGCAACAAAGCAATCACCGAACCATCCATGGTAAACACACGGGCACGGGACCACTATGACCACTGTTCTCGCAATCACCAGAAACAAGTCCCTTGGATTCGAAGGAGCAAATACCTAGAGATTGCAAACCAGTGGACTACTGGATGACAGCCATTGCCGGATCAAATCAAAGGCCCATAGAACTCGGAACCTCAATCGCAACCACCGACACAGACACACCTCTAAATCATGTTGCCAATCAAGGCTCGGTGTAGATGGTGCAGCCTGTGGTGTGACCTGCATCGTGAGTCCCATCTAAGTCAGTGTCAGAAGGACTACATTATATATATATATATGTGTGTTTGTTGTGTATTAGAATAGGGACCCCCCAGTTCGACCTCTCAAAATCTCAAACACAAACGAAATCCATTGGGCCGTTGGTCGGTCCCTGATGAACACTTTCCATTACATTCCGAAGTCCGTGCCCTTCAGTTCCCTGGAGGGCCTTCCACAAGAAGTCCGTGTGCATGACAACGTGCCTTAAAGTTCAACAGGGAGTTGTAAGGAGCATCTCCTTACTTTTGTATCAACGCCATGGGCGACTTCATGCTATTGTGGGGTTCCCCATGTGGTTCCGGCGTACTTGATGATCCCTGGCAGGACCCCCTGAGGACTGCATGGATCCAGCGCCCCTTGGAACTCCCCTCTGAGGCCTGGAGGTGCCAAGACGTGCCGGGGGGAGACATCACGATACTCTTCGCCAGCATCGAAGAGCTTTTTAACTCTTCGCCAGTAGCGACCTATTTACGCACTCCCCTCCAAATGTTTAAAGCGCACTAGGCCAACGAAAAGTTCCTCAAGATGCAAAGTCATTAGGGAGCCCTCTACACCTGCACCCTCATGGCAAAATGAGGCTTGTTAAGCTATCTCAACCGGTGTGGTCAAAGGGTTCAGGGCCTGATCAGGTGTGTGTGTGTGTTGAACTATGGAGACTGATCCCCGGTTTAACGACCCTGTCGAAGAAGGCACATCGACCAGGCTACCCAGCCAGGGCCAGTCTCCCTATCAAGATACACATCCATATGGAGAAGATCAACACTCGTCCTCCAAAAGAGCGCCTTGTTTCATCGTTTTTTCACTGTGGTCGATTGGTGCAGCAGCTTCTTAAGCTCTGATGGATTTCGCCGACCAAATCCACTCATCTTGGAGGGTGCTCTTCGGCTTCGATGCTTTTGCACCCGAATCTCCGGTTTTTGCATCCCATCGACACATCGACGCTCGAACGTGTCGCTCGGACCCCGGGGTGAACGCGTGTGGCTCGGGGTTCGAGTGTCGCGCAGAGAGCGCGCTCTCGAGCGCGCATGATGCAAAGAAGTCACCCGTGCTGTGTCGCCGTGGTTTCAGTGGTTTCATGGGCAGGAACTGTTGGCGTGAAGGTTGAGACCAGGGCTTGCTTCATGCGGCCAGGGTTTTCAGGAAACAGGGATGATGGATGATGATGGAGCATTTGGTCCCACCGTTCAGGTTTACCAAGTATAGCCATTCAAAAGCACAAGTCAAGCAAGAATCATAGAATCATAGAAGTTCCAAACAGCGACAGGGGACAGGGGCTGCACCAAAGTCCTGGCCACGCTTTCATGATAGCGCCTGACTGCAGTACTCTTTTCAATCGACCACGTTACCCAATCCCGGCTGGATGAGGTTCTTGATGGCGTGCGTCCGTGCTGAATATTTTGGGTATTGAATTAGGGTGAATGAGGCTGTCGCATCAAATTTATCGACCCAGTTAACTTCTTGTTTAGCCTCCCAGAACCCCCGCACTTGCCCCCCCTCTCTGTGACTCTAAAGCAAGTGAGAGGAACTGTGGACAACCACGGGGATGAGGAATGAAATCCGAGATAGGTCCTTCATGGTTCTTCTTTCCCTTTTGATACAAGCAACACCAGAACATCAAACCTTGAGATTGGTCAAGCTTCACCGGCTAAAGGTCTAGCTTCACCGGCTAAGATCAAAACCGCTGATGTTGTTTTTATGTCGCCCCAATCTGAAGTTCCCCATGTCTTTCTAACCATCGCCATGCTCATCATGGCGCCACAGCGCGCTCTATCATTGCGCCTGTGCCGTCCATGCAGTTGGGGTCCATGTCTTCCAGGGTGAAGCCAAAGGCCAAGGTCTTCTTCGCTTCATGCGAACAGGACTGGCCGGCCGTGGGTCTCCGGTGCTGGCAAAGCCGGGGAAAAGCAGATGCACAGCTCCCAGGTCCATGGAAGCTTCAGTTCAACTAAGGACCAAATAGAGATGGGTCACCAGAATTCCAGAACCACGGCACCAGTGAAGATTCTCCAACATTGTTCTGTTCATGTCATATGATGCGGACTCCAGAAAAAAAGGGGTAATGAGTGGTAATGAGGAGTTTCAAGTATCGACGAGACTCACCATATATATATATATTAATGTAATATAATTATATAAAACTTCTGGCCCACCGATTGCATGCCAGTGCCTTCCAGATTTACCAGCCCTCCCACCAACCCTAGGGGTGCCCTTGGAGGCGAAGGGCGGCCGAACGTGATGATGAGAGATGAGGAGCTTCTATAAGGCATGTGTAAGGCACCCTGAAGCAAATGACCAGCTGTAGTAGACGCCCGGGACGCGTGTTACCCTCCCTCCATCATTACTTACTCATAGATTTCTATTAAGTGTATCATACTTAGCCTGCTTGGCGTATATGCACAACCACCATGACCCCCTTGGATCAGGTCCTACCCATTCATTCGGAGGTACTCCTCCACCTGTCAGCTTAGAGTTCTTCACCCCTTTCTCGCCCTCAGTCCCCTCACCGCCTCGCCCCCCAGGCACCGCCCTCCTCGCCTGGAGGGACTCACGGAAGGAGAAGCACCGATGCGTCGAGGTCCAAGAAGAGACTCCTCAGCGACGGGAAACCCGACGAACGAGCGGTCGAGTTGCCGGTCGACGTCCGTGGGAGTCGGGTCAAGCCGAGGTCTTGGAGGAGGAACATGTTGGAACTTGGAAAGGGGCACGGCTAAGGAAGCACCCAATTGGTGGGATAGCTTGACCAAAGTGGAGTGTGTGTGTGGAGGTGTCCACTTGGTTCATTTGCTGAAGTGTATCTAACATGCAATTGTTAAGGAAAAACACATGCGTTTTTGCATCGATGGACTTTGACTGCATTTGGTGTGTTGTTCCTACTAAACTCAAGGATTCAATAGATTCTCTGTCAGGGGTAAACCTACAAACACTAGAAAAACATGAAGAACAAACGGCGTTTCTTTTGGTAACGAAGTTTATCCCAAAATGTCCCAAATCACTCCACAAAATCTCTGCCTACTCAGCACCAATATATATATATTATAATATATAATTCGAACTCGTCAGATGATTGAGTGATATCATTATATTGAAAGGTCCAAGCTGCCACAAATTTCAGGACATTTCAGGACTTGTTTGTGTCTCAAATCAACGAGATTTCCAGGACCATCAAAGGGCATCCAGTGTCCAATGGAGCGTACCGTAAACAGGGCAATGGCACTCCATTGGTCCATTGTGACCAACACAAACAATCCGCCGGGCTGACCGTTGTGCCTGCGTTTGAGCGGTTTTGTGTGTCAACAAACTTCAACTATATAGTGAGGGTTCAAAAATGTCTCAAACCTGCGTTTCGGAGCATTCGACTTCCCGAGAAAGCGCTTGCACGTCTCATTTCCAATGCATGTCAATTCAAATGTGTGCGTTGCTTCGGCGAAGTATGCATGTTCATCCAATTTCATCCCTCAAGCATGCATTTTTGGGGGACTGTTCCAGGGCATTTTGCTATTGCGCTACAGCGAAACGCGAAATTGAAACATCCTAGTCAAGCATAGTTCTGGGACATTCCAAGAGCAGCATTCTTTTCTGGCAAGTGGCAAGAGAGCTTCAGCGTCCAACAAGGTTTGCTATTCTTCGTGCTAGGTACAAGGCATCAAATCTTTGCCCGTGTTTTCCACCTCCAACAGTCTATTTGCACACGTTTGGACGTTAGCGCGTGGACGGGAATACACTGGAGATGCATACGTCTTCGCTACTTCTTGCGATGGGGGTGCTTAGACTTGAAGATTTGAGGGTTGACCTCATTGGACGTTGGCGTGCGCATGAAGGTGGGCATCGCCCCACTGAAACCACTTTCGCCCAGTGTTCCGAACCAGTCTTCACATCACGATTGCGGCCCCCCCGTCTCGACGAAAACAGACCCAGATTGATGAGAAGGATGTCTGATAACAAACCCAGGTTAGTTTTTCTGCTGTTCTTTTACACAGTTCTACGTTTATTGTTTTCTTAGCTCTTAGTTCCTGCAGCGATTGTGGCGCACCTGTGATTACTTAGAGGGAAAACCAATCCCACAACAAAGGTTCTGCAGGTTGTCCACCGACTTGCTCAGGGTTTTCTGGCTTTCCTTGCAGACTCTTCGAGTCCTACCAGCATCATACCTGGATTGCAAGGTCGCTAATTAACAGGGACGAGGTGCGACAGCGCTCGCACTCGATGGAGACATATTCCTGATGCAAAACCCAATCAAGTCCATGATGGAGCGTCCTACACTGGGCCACCTAACGAGAACTGCTCCAGTTGTCACCACCACGATCAAAGACCAACAATGTAAATTTCGGTGAGATTTACTGGGAACAGCTTGTCTCAGGGCCTGATGATGCCTGTCAATTGTGCAAGTCCCAACATACCGTACTTTTGCAAAATCACTTCTACTTGTGCGGGAACCTTCTCGAACTACTGTGGAACTGCCTGGTTTTTGCATGGATATTCTTTCTGGAAGCTACGCTTAGGCTGGAAGGATAGTGATAGTGCCAACCGTGGCTGAATCCAAATCTCAGCCAAAGACCCAACAGCCCTTGGAGAAGTCAAGAAGAACCTTCAACGAAACCGGCGCATCCGTGCCAATCTGGATGTCCACAACAAAAGGAGACTTAAACATGTATCAGTGCGTTGGGTCTGGAGCATCTCCTGGGGAGGGGAGTCAACGCTCTTGAACCAGACTCGAGAAGCTCCGCGACGTCTGGTCCGGGACAAGGCTCTGAGTGAACATGGACAAAGAAAGTTCAGTTGATACCATCTGGTTGCCCTGCCAGCTTTACAAACTCATCGCCACAACCAGTTGTCATATAAAAACCAATCAAAAACCCAACAAAACAAACTGGACCGGTCTGTACCAATCTTTATGAACCATCTGAAACATCTGAAACATGTAACATTCTACCAATAAAAATCGCACCTGTGTAGGCTATGAAACACACACACTCTCTGGTGCGCCAAACTTAATACGCCGCACCTCTGGACGATAGACCTGGCCACGAGCAACGCACTCCACCGGACCAGTGCCACTCATTGGGTGGGTCAACGCGTTCTATAGGGATACACCATTGGGTGGGTCACACTGATTGGGTGGGTCCCGTAGGGATACACCATGATCTACCCTACTACATTGGCATTTATATATAGTTACTTTGGGATACTTTGGGTATGGTGTATCCCACTTTCCAAACAGGGCCCAGTGAATGGGGACAGGTTGCAGATCGACATCTCAAACATCGTGATATGTTGGGTGTATCTTATTCATCTATTCCCTGTAACAGTGGATGATGATGGTTATAGTCAAGGCCTTATTCAATATAGTGATATTAATTGTCTACCAGTTGCTAGCCTGGTCATAGGACAAACACAAGTGGTATGTTGTACCGACTGCTACTGAGTAAGGCCTCAAACGCAAGCCTGGCTGAACCGCCACTGAACCGGACGGAGAGTGGTCAGGGTCAGGTCAGGTGACTGGAGAGGCCGACTCTGTTTGGGTGAATCCGTGGATCCGACGCGGAACAATGCTGAAATGATCTATTATAACGTCTAAATCAGACGGCTCAACCAAGAAATTCACTAACTTTGGAATAGGTTGTAAAAAAGGAAAAAGAGCCGACTGCTACATCGCACACCAACATCCAACACCCTGATTCCTATTCATAGAACCTGAACGCATTCTGTCGGCATCTGAATCATTCCCATTTGCATCTGGGTGTTTTCACTCTACGAGTACCATTAAGTACCAAATAAACTAAACCCTGAATGGAGACTAAGCACAATCGGTTAAGAGGGCCGATACTGATCATCTGAAGCAACGCAATACGATGCCATGAGAGCATGCCGATGAATTTATCTGCTTCTCTGGGACAGTCCAACTGATCAAAAGGAGTGACTGAGGAGTCAAACAAACATGCCATCGCAAGAAACCTGAACCATGAGGATACTCCACCATCCCTGAGTGTCCTTCCTGGAGTAACAACATATATATATACATATTTCCATTATATTACATATATATATATACTTGTATGTACAAGCATGGACTTCCATCTCTATCTGGCTATGGATAATTTGTCCCAGGTCCTTGTCTCTCATTTCTTTGGACACCCTCAACAACGATACACGGCCTCTCTTCAGATCATGAAAAGCCAGGTCTCGCCTCAAATTCAGAATTTCTGTCCCCACTCAAACAATTACAGTAGTACATAGGCCCTAGGCCCCTGGAAAAAACCGCATCCGAGGGCTGTTGTGATTGTTGGGTTTTCGTCCGACCCCCCTCGATCGAGCTGATGCCATCGTCCGAACCCCAGGGCCGCCTCCCCAGGTGGCAGGCTGGTTGAGTAGGTGGTGGATTCCTGGGCGATCCGGATCTGGGCAAACCTGACTCCATGGACCCTTTTCTTGGCCCGACTCACTGCTCGACTCGTCTATTTCTGACAGAGCGGACCCGTGCGCAATTTGGCACGGACGCCGAACCACGGTCTGCTGGATGTCCAGGGCGTTCTCTTAGTGTTTGATCTTGCTATGGCTGAGCTTAGAAGTCAACGTCAAATGTGTCAATGTTTCGGTTCAGGTGGGTTGCCTTCTGTAGAAAGCAGTGACAAGAGATACAGTATACTTTATATAGTACCGAAAGCATATTATCATTAATCTTAGAACATGGCAACTGGATGCAACTGGAGTTATTACCAGTATAGCTGATGAAGGAGAGAAGAACTTTCGAGGAAAATACTTGTTCTTGATGTACTTGATGTAACGAGCATGTCAAACAGTCCTCGGTTTCGGCCAGCAACTAAGAATTCATATGCCCAAACCCTCATGGACCCTCATATGGAGAGATCGGAACTTCATAGGGAGAGGTCTGGGGTCCCATCGCTGACACTCCGTGGAATAATCATGGTTCCGTGGATGGCATGGCCTCTTGGATGACCATGTTCATCCATGTTCCAAATACCAAACAGCTGGTGGTGAACTCCACTTTCATGAGTAGTTCAAGGAGTGTAAAATGAAACATCACCAGGTCAGAAAGCCAGTAGAAAATCCTGGGATAGATACACCGTGGACCATGACCCTGTGTCATAATGTGTCATAAAGGTTCCTGATGTCGGTTTCTCCGGTTTATCAACACCTATATGTCAATATAACATGACTTACACACCAAACGGCTCTTGCAGCAATGAAGGCAGCCCCAAAAGCTGAAGACAGCCCACGTTTGATGACCACTAGACCGTCCATTTTTCGCAACACATAGATATATTCATGTGTTGCTTTGATTCTACACATCCATCTGCCCTTTTTCGTTTGGTATCGTTTGGTTGTTTTGCAGCACCGACGTCTTAAGTTCGTGGCGCGCCCGTGCCGATTCTGGAAAAGGACCCCGGTGACCCACCCGAGGGCGGTGCATGACCGCCAAGTGGCATCTCGGATGCAGGGGGCCAGCTCGAATCCATAGTCTCTGCACATGGTCTGCATTTCAAAGAACTCGAACTCCGACTCGGCGCGAGGTCAAGGCCGAGGCGAGTTCTCTCTCGCAGTGGAGGGGACGAAATCCTCTTCTAGGACAGAGCTGAGAACATGGGGTTTGGATGGGTTTGGTCCCAGGGTTTCTGGGGCCCAGTTGAAAGATGTAAGCATCAATAGATCCTCGGCTTAGACAGGACACCTTTGCAGAAACAATGATATGACTGAACATTCTCACTACTGTCATTGATCTGGAACTGGACCAATGAACAAGTGGTTGCGGGAGTGTCAATGTATGTCAATGTTCTCATCCCTTCTAGCTCCTTGCTGGTTGGTCTTCAAGTCGATCCCAAGTTCAATTCGCCTTTGAATGTACGTTGGCAAAGCCACCGGTGGTTCGAATGCATGTCCATCCTCCAAAGTATAGCCTATAGAAAATACATGCAAATACTACATGACAGCTCCATTGCTCCACTCACCGCGGTCGACCCGACTCAGGACCGGGGTCAGCTTCGAGCTGTTCCAGGGCCGTAAACAGATGCCGTTCCTACAGGAGGCTAGATGCTGCAAGCAAGCTTGTGCATCCTGGATGTCCCCGTCAGAAATTCCCGTGATCTATCAAGGAAGTACCTGGACCTGTACATACTCAGTTGAGTTGAGCACCTGGATTACTAGATGGACAGACTCACTAGTACCTGCAGTCTCCCCCAGCAACTGGGTCCCTGGTCCGTCCCGGCTCGGCTCCCCCGACGTCGGAACCTCGTTCCTGAGCCCGGTCGGAGCAGATGCGGACCGCTGAGTAAACCACTCCACTGGTCGATTGTTGATGTACAGCTCTCCAGTTCCATGGAGAGTATGGGAATGGTGGACCCAATGCCAAGAACTGTTGAAAGATGTTGGAGGACTCCTCATCTACACAACACCCCCCGCACCTGGGTAGCGGATTTGCCTGATCATACCAAATCTGCATCAATTCCGCTTGTCCCATGGAGACAGGAGTGTTTACTATAGGCCCTCGTGAACCTTGGAGACTTGTCTGAAGCCGAAGTCCAGCCAGTCCAGCCAGGTGCTTTTAGGCGGTGCATGTGGTTCGATACCACCAGGACCCTTCATGTCTGGGTGTGATGTGTGGCTGGAATACACTGATCCGGGAGAATACACCGCCAGGACACCTAGTCTGTCTGTCTTCGGTTTGGCTTCACTCACCTGTTCACTCACCTCTTCAAGCACCTCTCAACTAAGCTACAAGATGCCTCGAGCTACGAGCTACGCAAAGCTGGGGAAAAGGTCCGATTCTCAGCCAAGAAAAACTGACCTGCAGGTGATCCACTTCATGGGAGACTGGGAGAGTCGAAGAAGTGGAGTGGCTAAACTTGGAGGGCCAACTAGAAATATCTGTCCAAAGGACAACCCCCATACAACACAGCTTGGGACCCGCCTCGATCGTTTTCCTCCAACAGTGTTTCCTGGGCCACGTAAAAAAATAGAAAACACATACACAAACACATGAATTCCGTTATCTTCTTAATTGTCTTTAAGAGGGCTTCGTCAATCCTAGATCCCACAATAATTTCATGCAAGTACCCAAAGGCTTCGCATGGGTCACGCCATTCAAGGGCATATGCGTATTCCAACAAGCAAGTGATGTCGATCCATTGCCGGCTGGAAAAAACAAACGTTGCATGGCCAACGCCTATCCTGCAGTTGTGAAACATAGATTCTTGGGGCGAGTGCTTAATATGGGTAACAAGTCGATTCCAAAATAGATCTATTTTTCTTACTACAGGGGAAATCGAAGAGCACTCAATCACTGCGCAAATACTGAAGTCAAAATCAAACAAAACAAAGACCACCCGGTTTGGGCTAGTTCATGGACATCCCCTAATCTCCAAGAAGGATCAAGAAGGCAAACACCCCGTTTCGCGGGGGCCCTGGTACATGGACACATCGAATTTGACGAAATGCTACTGTACGTTAAACATCGCGTTTGGTATCGTTTGGTCTTGTAGGGGATACAAGCGCTGACGCATGTCAGCGCTCGTTCCTCACGACTGCCGCGACTACCTCCCCGCGAACTGCCCAGCGGCCCACCCGAAGGCACCACAGCACATGGTGTCAATCAGACCTCGCAGGAGAGAACGCTTTCCAGAACACTGGACACACACACAGACCAATGATGAAAACACAACACATGCGGATCCCCAAAACCTGGATTTTTAGCAGAAACATGACAAACACATGAAACACACGGTGTGCACACCACGCATTTCTTCCAAGTGGAGGATGTGGTCCTTGCAGGGCTTGGGTCAATTTCCAAATAAACCTATATACAGTATACAATTAATTCTCTATATTCTATATACATCATTTAGTCACGTCTTTTTCTGTGTACTGAAGGCTGAAGAGGTGAGGTTTTGAAGTCTTCGACCTCATTTCGACTCCAAACAAACCCCTTGACAGGAGCCAAAAACATCACTGGTGTGGGAAGCCGTTCCTTGACAGGAGGCGCTTTCCATGGTGCAGGGTACCGGAGGATGGGAAAACAGGTCACAGCACCCCCATGGTCGATTGGATGGTCCCACTGAGGCAGAGTGTGTTTCTGCCAGATTCTGCATGATCAAATGGTCCTGTGTACGCCTCGGCTTGAGCGATTGCAGTATGTCCGTATGGCCACCGTGATGCAGGGGAGTTGAAGAATGGGCCTTCCAAATGCACGACACTTGGAATAATGGACATTCCAACATCATCTCTCCAAGTGGCACGTCTTGGTGACCGTCTGGTATCCCTGTCAGGTCAAGGCGCGGTCGGCCAGTTAGGCGCCGGTTCGGCAAAAGGTGCGCCGGCTCGGCTCGGGTCGGGCTGGCAAGGTGTGGTCACAGTGTCCCTGTTCCAAAGACTGAGACAGCGTTCTCAACCAGCAAATCCAACACATCACAAAAGCACATGCCTGCATGAATCTTAGTTCGAACATGTCAAACCCAACGACCCGGGCGCTATGTCCCGTTTGGATGAAGAAAAAATGCCTGGGCAGAAGGACGATCTTGGGAGCCATGGACGATGTTGCCGGACGATGGATGGATGGATATTATACACCCTGACTCACTAACATGGAAGTGGACAATGGCCCCTTGGAAGACTACTTTCCTTTACAAACAGAGGATGTTCCACTTCCATCTTAATCAGTCAGAGTGTAATACGTACTAGTACTAGGCCTACAAAGGCTCAAGAAACACTTGAATTCCTGTTGAGTTTCCTCTGGGTGACAAGGAGACACCCTAGGTTCATTTAGTATCTTTTATATAAATAGTCCAAAACCAGGGGCAGTTTAAATAGTCCAAAACCGGGGGTCCAAAATAATGTTATACAGAATCAATACAAAATCAGAAATCAAAACGACCAGTTGTTTCACGTCGGGGAGGGTTTTCACAAGCCCGGCCCATTTATAGCGAGACGTTCGCCCCAGAATCGATGCAGCGGCCTCACAGAGTGCGGTCATGTTGTCTGTCTGGTACAAGCTGTTCATCATCTGTGCTCCTCCGATAGAGAAAGATACAGAAAAAAACACGCAAACACAAAAACGATGTTGTTTTCACATGGGCAATACCCAGGTCTTTTGGCACACGATCGTTTTTGTGAAGCTGCATGAAGCAGCGATTCAACTTGCCGCCAAGCTCTGTCTGCTGCATACCATTTCGGATGCGTAGCATTGAGAAGCGGTGAAGCGGTGTATCACCAAATCGGTGAAGCGGTGTATCACTCAGAACAAAAAGAGATCGAAGTCTGAGTCGAAGGTGCTGCACTCAGACCCTCCATCTATCGTCTAAACATATGTCCTGTTGAAGAACATATCAAATGAACGCGAGTTAGACACCGATGTGAAAGTCCTGTTTTCTGCCAGTCCTTTTCTGCCTCCCTTCCATTTCCCTTTCTGCGTCGTCTCGCTTTTCACCGCGTCGCCGTGGTCACATCGTCCGTCGCCGTCGCCAAGCCCTTTTCTCTTCGTCTTGTGTGGTGCATGGGTCCCAGGTACATCGGTTTCTGAAAAACGAACGGATACCGACCGGTTGACCTGCCTGTTTCAGGTCAAGTGTTGTGGTGGACTGGTGCGACCGAGGTGGGTTGAGGATCACCCACCCTCATCTGACTCCCTCAGGACCCTCAGTGTGCGAGTTCTGGGCGGGAGCTGTCTACACCAGGAGTGCTTGTGGCCTTGACCTGATTCCCTGTTTCCCTGGAAAAATCAAAGGTGAATCAAACTGTTCACCTATAGTGGAGTTGAGTGGGGTGTCTGTAGTTTCTGCAGCTTCCCCCAAGTTCGGTTTTCCCTGCACGTGATCCATTCTTCACTCACTCCTAGGTAGGCCATGAAGACCCTTCCATCATGGCTAAGAATGGCTTCCAGGTCCCAGTTTTGGAGCTGCAACATCCATTCCACTTGCAGCCAGTCCGGATCACCCCAAAAAGGTATATGCATTCCATGTGTTCAGCACCGAATGCAGGCTGTGAACCTGTTTCCAACGCCGATCCGACCCTGAAAGTTAAGGACCAATAAAGAAGAGCCCAATCCTTCGGTGACCCGAACGACTGAAGTTCCCCTACTTCCATGGGGCCGAGTCCATGGACGAAAATGGACACCGAAGGACTCGGCTCACGGCTGTCTGTGGTTCGTCCAGTCCTACAGTGTCATTGCACATCATTAGCATGCCCACTTGACAGTCCTGAGAGCCGCTGGAGGCCGTTTTTCGGCATGGTGTTCAACAAGGGCTTGGAGTACTGTTGCTTCACTGACATCTACTGACACAGTGAGTTCAGGGATGTTCAGAGTAGATCTTAGATTCTTAGATGGCACAAATCCCAAACAGTAGGTCCTTTATACATCGCATACATCAGGATACATCAGACTGATATGGACATATATGGACGGCTTCTCCACCCAGTCAAAGCTCTAGCATCTTCTCTCTGGCAGAAGAAGACCCCCAGGTTGAAAAAGAGGCTTGTGGAGAAGCTTGTGCTCTCCTAGCTGATTTCTTCTCACCTTCAATGACCTCATCTGAAGAAAGGCTTTGTTACTTGGAACACGTTGGAGAAACAAACATCAGGTCACAGAATCTCCTCATCTTAAGCTTCATGACTCTGCCCCCGCACTAAGTCCGCACTAAGTGTGGAGTACACCGACTCGTCCACTCGGGCTCCCTGACGCCATACATGTCTCCGCCATCACCGCCATAACCGCCACTGCCGCCATAACCGCCACTGCCGCCATAACCGCCACTGCCGCCATAACCGCCACTGCCGCCATAACCGCCGCTGCCGCCATCACCGCCACTGCTGCCATCACCGTCATTCTGAGTCCAAAGCGTGGGAACGTGTGGGATCTCCATTGGGTGGGACCATCCTTATTGAGTGGAACCTGACCTTTCTTGGAAACGAAGACTCGGGAAAGACCAGAAGACTGCAGAACTGGTTCTTATGAAGAAACATCATTATGATCATTATGATCATAAAGTGTCTGTATGGTATGTGGATGCCAACATCTGGCCCCTGGTTGCAAGTTCAACCTCTTTCAGGGACCGAGCCGACCCTCACTCCACGCACCCTGGGACTGTTTGCTGCGAGTCTCCACCAGAAACGGAGAAGCGACAGCCATTGGCCGGCGATGAACACCACCAGGTGCGCGTTGTTTACGGAGCCAGGGCAGACCCGATTTTTTTTTCGGATGAACGAAACCATGGAGGTTTACCAAATGGCACCGGTTACACAGCGGAACTGTTCATCGAAGATCACTTGGAAGGGCCTAGTTTGACAATCTCAAAGAAGGCCTAGGAGACTGCATAGAGACAATGATTGCAGCAAACACGTTCTTTATTCACCCCAAAACCCATGATTTTTTACCGATAGCATTTGGCACAGGTCTTGCAAGGCTTAGCGGCTATGACGCATTATAAAGCGCATGGGCCCCGGGTCTTCCAATCCTCATTCACATTTATCCCGGATCCCGGTCCACAAATAGAACCGTGTTCTGTTTACTTGTCGAGATCACCAAAAGAAACCACGCCCTTTTTCAGATCCACCCTTCTCAACGGTCACTGCACCGAACACACACGGAACGCAAGAAGCAACGAATTCGCACCGTGTTACGTAGGCGCCGTGTCGCAACGTAAAAGTCAAGCAGTATGGTACAGTATGTCACAGTTCTGCACAAAACGGGGGCTACTATCTGGTCGGTTGGGTGTGCATTAAACTAAGGAAACCTCTCAGTTCGACCCCCTGACAGAAAGAATATACATCAAAATCCACGGGTTGGTTGAGGAACTCCCTATTCCAATACACACACACAATTGAGCTTACAGTTTGCCACTGCCACTACCCTTTCAAAGCAGGTTTATCTGTGAATATGGAGGGACACATTCATGATTTTTGACCCCTGCATCATGGGCATGAGACTGGGCATGAGTATCTGTATCATGAACATCTGAATCCTGGTTTGGTGTCGAGGCGGCAATCCAGCCACCTCCAGCTGTCGAAACTTCAATGTCCTAAGAAACTGGAACAAGTCAAAAAACATGTTGTTCTTGCATTTTTCTGCGGACCTATTCCATGTTGCCGGAAACATGACGCAAAAACTGCATACAGTAATAGTTGTGACAAATTTTGACAAAAACACGCCTTGTTGTAATATGTTGGGGTGTTGCCTGAAAATTGTTCCCACCAGAAAAAAGCACACACTTAGATGCATTGCTCAATTGCATGAGCATTCAATGAGTTACTGAGTCACTGACAGCTCTTTATGTTACAGCTAGAGCACTGACAGCCTGAACCTGCAAAAACAGCCCTGTGAGGAACAGAAAGGCGAAAAGGTCGGCTAAACAGTATGGTTTAAATCACTCAACTCTGCAGGTACGTCAACTCGGCATCCCGAGTTGATATCACAGACCAGTGCAAGCGTCTTTGTTAGTGCCTGACTTGCGCGGTCCCTGGCACACCCTGCTTGTAGCGAACTGTACAAGGAAGTGAACACAATTCAGAAGCAACGAAGCTAGTCCGAAAGAAAACCTATTGGTGACCCTTATTGACAGGGTGTGACACACACACACACACACTTCTTTTGCGGGTCTAATGCTTTCCCAATTTTATTACAAGGATGTCCACCTCCTGAACGTACCCTTGCAGAAGTATATCTGCAACACCACCACACAGACCTTCCAGGCTCCCGGCACAGTATTCCCACATAGTTCCAAAGGTTTCAGGGCAGTATTGCACAATGAAATGAATCGAAGCCTCGGTGTTGGAGATGGTAGAGGGTGGTGCGCCCCACCCTGCCCCATGAAATCCGATCTCGAAAACAATGGAAAAGCATGGGTAATCTCATGCTTGATGAGGACTCCAAGCATCGTGGTGACCCAACCTGGCACCAGCATGTGTGTGTGTGTGTGCGATGTTGGGCGCATGAGACCCGAAGCCAACAATATGTAGCTGGATGCATTTGACACCTGGACAACACGGAGGTGGAAGTCCTCCATCGGTTCTCTCTGAGTCTTCGATTCTTCGTTGTGAGACACCGAAGGCGACACCACGTGTGGTCGTTCCGATCGATGGCAAGCGCGATGGCCCGATGACCGAGCCTGACAGAGCCTGGTGATGGTCCATGTATGGATCCATGGATGGATCTCGAAGAATCAGATATTGATATTGTATTCTAATATAGATAGATAGATAGATAGATAGATAGATACAGTATATAAACATTTTGATGCACCATCATCATTCATATAACGCACACGAGCAGCATATTAAAAGAGAAACAAAAACAATTCTCACTGCCTATCATGGAGGAGACCTTGGTGACCTTGGGGAGACCTTGGTGACCTCAAAAGCAGAGTCCAAAGCCGGATGCCATCTCATCAGCGTCGGTAGATCCCAGCCGCAACGTGAAGCCAATTCTTGCTGAACCGTATTTCTTTCTTGTCTGATAGGATGATGTAGGATGATATAGGATTATATAGGATAACAGGACCTGATAGGGTCGGGGATCCACCATTGTCATAAGTCATACCTTAGTTTAATATACAGTGCATATTATATAACTTGATATATACATAAGTTTATACATATATATATATATGTGTCTACTATTAACATCTATTAACTATTTTATATCGAGTGAATGTAGCGACCTCCTTGGAGCAATTTGCTCTTCCTGCTATTCTTCCGAAGTCCAACGCCTGGCTTCCGGAGACTTGGATAGACTGGCTGGCTAAATCCGCCAAGTACCCAGAATGCAGGGTCAGCTCTTCCACCACTTCCCCCCGGGCCACCGAACTCCACCGAGCGACTGGAAACGATCGAATCGATGGTACCAAGCAGCAGGGACCACCCACTGGGCAGAGGAACAACCGCAGTGACTTGCGGTCAGGCCTCAAATGTGGCCACTTGGTGAAATAGAGAGGGCCAGAACAACGTCAAAAACAGTTCTGTAAATGGTTACTTGCCAATCCTGAATGGGGTCACTGGGAAGGTCCTGGAAGATAAGAGTTATCACTCCCAAATGATAAGAGGGACCGGAATAGTTACTCTCACAATTAAATCGGGTATTGTAACTCTTCCAGTCTCATGGAATAGGTCTGGGACTTTTTCTCACACCACTCCCGTCTCAACTGCCGTACCAGCTCCGGTTGCATGAAGCCCTGTTGGGAGACCGCTCAAAGCTTGGGGGAATGGAAAACCGACCTCGCAAAACCACCTGGGCCCTCCAAAGTACTCGGACATGTCAGCATGACCGGACATTGTCAACATGACCGGGCCCCCCTTTTCTTTTAATATGTTTAATGGCCCGTTCGGTGTCCATGAACCACCCCAAAGCGGGCCACTGGTATAAAGGCAGGTAAACCCTACCCTCGAAGTCCTTCTATAGTCGTTGAATAGTCTTTGACTCCCAGGGTATATACAACTGTACCCATTGGCCAACAAAGGGCCGAGGTCAGGCAGAAGTCTTTTATCAACCGAAGCGGATCCGTTTTTTTCTCCCTTCGGTCTCCCGTCGACCATCAGCAGAAGCTTGTTCCATTCAGCCCCAACTTTTCAGCCCCAAACACGAAGTCCGTCTAAGTGTGCCAACGAACGTGTGCCAAGCAGTGTCGACTGGTCGACTTGTCTAGATGACATAAGATCTACTTGCGCTCCAAAGGCGTCTTTCAAGCGGGGTGGCTTGGAAGACCACCGCGATTAAGTAATAATTACCCAGAACCTATCTGACATCTATACTTGATAGGAAGAGAACATCGCTCGAGTGGTTGGTACTCCAAAACAGGGGTCACTCTATAATATATATATATATATATGTGTGTGTTTGATGGTTTCAACTCACTCGAATATTATGAGTCAGAAAGTAGGATCAATCATCCCAAGCAAAGATTTAAAAAACAAATCGGAAAAACACTACCCGACTCCCTCAGTTTCCCTGGCAAATAGTGGTTACTACATGTTATTACCGTTTGGTTACTGCATGTTACTACCGTTTTAGTCCATCTGTTGGATTTGAGTCGGGAAGCCAAAATTACAGGTGAAGTATGTGAAAGGTTCACGACCAACTGCGTACCAATTGAATCCAAGGATACTCGACTCCGAGTCTGGCAAGCAAAAGCTTAGCAAGAGGTTTGCGTCAGGCGGTTCTTGGTGAATCAATCCCAAGTGGTGGTTGATCCTGACCAAGGGTAGCTACGAGTACCACCTTTGGTAGCGGATGAGGATACGAGAACCATTTGTGGCGGGATGATAACGAGTTTTAAAGGCTGGATATTTCTGAGCATGGCAAACACTATGGATGACAGGGCCTAAACATGTCAAACCTTGGAAAACACAGGACCCCGCCGTTATAAGAAATATATTAAGACATGTGTATATTATATATATATACATATGTTTCTCCTTGCATCGTCATGCAAATCAAGACAACTCTTTGCGAATCACACTCCCGCCTCCGCCGGGTGGTTTGCTATGTTGGCTTGGTAGTTTGCATGAATGATTGAATTACTAAAAATACGTACTTTAATCTTGCTTGAGATCCATTTGACGTTGACAAGTGTATTCCTCACCCCAGTATGGAAATGGAACCCCTTCCCCAATAGAACACGTAGCACCATCATCCATGCGTAGCCCAAACTTGCTCACTGCCAAGCCCGGACAACAACCTTTGATTCGTCTTCTGGATCCCAGAAAAGCATGAGGTCCGGATCATCTTCACTGCTCAGAAGAATAGAATCAATCGGATCCAAAAGCAGAGTTCTCTGGGAACCGATCCCAGAGGATCTACACGACGAACACATCACCTGTGCGAAAGAAGTGGACTTCACCCCGTTCACCCCCCGGACATGGAGAGGAGCGTCGTTGGAAAAGGGGCCGCCACTTCCATGTGAGTGAGAGCGTAACCCGCCATCCCGCCATCCCATGCGCCAAGCTGCATTTGTCGATCTCCAAACCGGACTGAGGATCGGAGGGGCCCAAGGTGGTGGAGATGGCTTGGGCATGACTGGTCTTCACCCGGTGATGGGCCCAAGACCGGTCCTCACACCCCAAGCCGTTTCCCCCGGAAAATCACCGGTGCAGTCGTAACTGTCCACTTGCAGTCGTAACTGTCCACTTGGAGTTTCTGCAGTTTCGCCAGTTTGGGCACCAAGTTCGGTGTTCGCAGGTGATGCACGTACTTCACTCACTTCTGGCTTGATACACGCGTCGTACACTGAGGAGCAAAGAAGAGGATCCGCTCGAGCGGTGAGTTGTGATGCTCCGCGGAAGTATATATAACTCTTTCGCATCTGACTTGAAGCTTCTGGCCACATGGAGGTTGGTTTCAAAGGTTTGTCTCAAAAAGAATCGGTTCAGTAGCCAGGCCAATCCAAGTCCTGGCCAAAAGACCGAGCCCACTACTGAGATCCATTGGACACCTTTGGATGGTCCAGGTATATACCAGGACCAAAAAAGGACCAAAGTAACCTCTCATTCTTAAAGAAAGAAGTCATTGGGAAGGTCCCGTTATGCATAGAAAGAGGGAGAGAGATTGCAACCGTCCTGACTTTGACTTCGAATCGACACCGATCGAGCCGCTTCGGCAGTGCTGACGGTGGCTGAAGGTTGAGACTGGAGGTCCAGGTTGACATCTTCCAGCTTTTCCAGATGAACTTTCTCAGGGATCCTCACTTGGGGTGAATGCATTAGTAGTGTTAAGGTGCATGCCAATACGGTATTATACAACAGCCCACTTGGTTCCCTTCCAACCGAAAAGGACCGTGGAAACCCGCCGTTTCCACGCTGCCTCCTGCGACCCGAACGTCTCGGACCGTCTCGGAGTGCCGAAGTACGTCCGACCGGACGTTCCTCCGAAAAAGAAAGAACCACAGGGTACATGATATCGTACTTGTTAGCCATTCTCCAAGGTACTTGGAGGGTCCAGGTAGACTTGCATTGTACGAGTCTTGATCTGTCTTGTACTTATATATACCGCGTGTGTTGTTTTTCTTTTTTCCGAAGCGCCATCGGGTGCGGTCCCACTCGTCCAATCAAACGAGAAAGTCGGTCCACCCCCCCCCCCGGGTCGATGGTCTTCAGGCGGAACCAGGGTCGATGGTCTCATGAGACTCGACGAATCCCGTTTGGGCTCCATGGAGGCTCATCCGTCGGCTCCCAGTCGTTTCGGTTGGGTGGGACGGACGGCCCCCGGCCGAGTGCCAGGCAGTCATAGCGAGTCGGGTGCGAGGTACATGGACGGAGCCCAAACCGACGGGAAGATCCAGTGAAATCGTCCAACGGTGAATGTCTACCCGGTCACTTCCCTGGGCCAAGCCTGGGTCCCAAACACGAACTGTCTGGCACTGCCCAGTCGGACTGCCTTCAAAACGGCCAGGGGTGGTTAGTTGAGGAAGGGGGTCAAGGTATAGGCATATATGGCAGTCCCATGTGTCGTGTCTGGGGTTATATATGGTTATATACATCCACTTTGCTCTGGGTTTGTTCCGGGTGTCCATCGGTTCCCGACCCTCTCTGGGGCCACCACCAAACAGATCTCGCGTCCCTGTTCCCTCGGCGAGCCAGGTGGAGACCGGACCGTCTGAGGTATAAAACACGCCACCGAAGCTCGTTGGGTTCAGTGATGGATGTGTGATGTGATGTGTGGTTGACAGGGATTAGAAGGAGAGGGCATGTATTAACATGAATTTACATTGGGGTGGTGGATTTCAGGGGTCAATGGGACAGCATCTCTTCCGGGGCATGTATTCCAAACCTGTGGATTTGCACCTTGTACTGCCTCCAAACCCATCCCAGCGCAGCCATTGGGTGGCGGTGCTGCCAGCTTCTGGCCTGGCCTGACCAGACTCCCTCAGATTCCGTGGAAAGAAATAGAGCTTATAAGGCTTAACCTTTTACCACCTGTTGGATTTGAGTGGGCGCGGTGTTTCCCTCAGTTTCGTTGACCTGCAGGTCCACTGAACTCGTGATCCAGGATCTCCAGGATCCAGCTTCGCGTTCGCCTTCATATCTGCTCAAGAAATTCTTCCTTGATTTCGCCCCCACCACCTGCAGGTGGCCCCTTTGAGGGATCCCTTGGGAACATGTGGACTACTGGAGACGCACGGACGAAGGTGAGGGGGAGCGTTTATGCACTGGAGCGAGGTGATGAACTTTGGGATCCAGTCGTACCTTGTCAGAAGGTGCGACTGGACCCGACAATGGCACCTACATAACAGTGTCGAACAAGTTACCCTAGGGCAAAACACCTCCACCAATAATAATATATATTGTAAATACAGAGTAATATGTACTGCAATTATTTCGGTCCACTTGCTTCCCTGAAGTTTGATAGGACTGGGGTAACCGGGGTGACCTTGTGAGGATGTGGCCCCAACTGGTGGGCATGCCGTAGCCGGCATGCCATGGCAAAGGATGACTGTAAGGTATGGTGAAGCGGTTCACTCAGGCCAAGTGGGTCAGCCTGGTTGAGCTAAAACATGCCGAAGTGTGAAATACCTCCGTCAAGACGATGAGTTCAACTTCACGAATGGTGGTTCAGGTGGATTTCATGATTTTCTGTGGGAAATTGAGCCATTCAACTCTAGACTCTATAGATTTCATATGGGTCCACCTGACAAGAAATGCTCCCGTGCAATGTAAAAACAGTGATAGGTAATTATCATAAACGATGGAAATACATGGTGTCCCATGTGGATGTCGATCGTGCCATCGCAAGCAGCTCCCATCTGATATGAGTTGATGCCGATCTCCCACTTCTCACTTTCTGGATGTTTTTGAGCGCAAACCATCCATCAACTCAGTGGCAACTCCCGTCTCTGGTACTTGAACCATGGTGGGAGTCATTGTGAAGCACCCTCATCCGAAGGAACTCATTGGTCACTGAGCAGCTGTGTGAAAAAGGGAGCGTTGTTGCTGGAGTCCCAACCGCCGTAATCCTGGCGTCAAATGCTCTCGTGAAACATTCACGGATGCTTTTGAAAGACCTCAACCTCCCTCACCCTCAGATTCGCCAGGAACGAGGAACAAAGAGGCAAGACATGGCCGGCATGTGTCGGACCTTGCTTGACCACCGAAAATGTAACCGAATAGACTTCTTACGGGACATGGTCAACGGTCAACGGTCACTGACTGAAGGTCCTGGGTTGGAGACTCCCGAAGCAATGATCCACAGTCATTGGTGATGTGGTGAGATCCCATTTCACTTGTGGTGGTGCATTTGAAGGGGGGGACCCCCGATCGCCCTGGGGTAGAGTTAGACTGGTCGATTTTCCCGAACCCAGCAGGTGAAGTTTGGGGTGTCGGTCTCCCAAACGAAAGGAGCTACACAGTCACAAAAAAGCAACGAGGTGGAGAACTGCTCAGCCAAAGGTGGAGAACTGTACCCATCATGGACCCATCATGTTTTTTTTAACGTGAGTGACACAGTGATGATTCGATGATGATGGAATATGACCGATCTTTCCCAGACACGATCTGTCAAACAAACCCCTGAAATGAACCACCCCAATGTATGTATAGATATGCCAGTCCCACTGACGTCGTGTCTGGGTGTTGGAGACTCCCCAACCAAAGCTGCTTACACCGAATCGATTCAACACTGGTCTCCGGTCTTCAGGACAGCGACACGGAGCCGACGGAGCCGGAGAGATCACTGAGACAGTCCTGAATCATCTGTGAATAGGTCATCACTTGCGCAAAACAATCCGGCTTGTATGTGTCCAGGTCGCAGACCTTGAGTGTCCACTGGCCCGGCGCCCTGTCTGGGGGGGGTAAAGAAGAAGAAGCACGCCGCCGAAGAGGTGAAAAGAACGTGCTCTCGGGCGGTCTATCCATGTCTATCCTACCTGTAACAGTAACAGTGGATGATGATGGTTAGTAGAGGCCTTGTCTCAAAAGGATGATAAATTGTTTACTGACTGTTACAGGTAATACCCAACATGGGCAAATCTTGCGAGAAGAACATGTGCAAAATCGTGAAACTTGATCACACTTTCTGAACGAGAACAGCACGGCATCCCAAGATCAACCACCCAAAGCATCCCAACGACCAAAGGGGTGATTTGGTCCAACAAAGTCTAACACAATTGTAGCCAGTCCATGCGCTTGTCCCCTGAAATCAGTGAGAGTACTATTAGATACTATTAGTGAGAGTACTACGCGCGAGACTCCGGGCCATATTCCCGTAGTGAGCTGAAAAACGTTCAGTCGACAAGGTCACACATGTGATCTGTGTCCACGAGCACCTCAGCTAGATGAAGGCATCGCCCAAACTTGAGGCCAGAGGGGGTGAACGAAAGCTAGCCGGGCCTCCTCGTCCAAACAAGTCGGGGGCGGGCTGCACAGTCACTCTCATTGGGTGACTGCCGGTCCACTTGCAAGTCCCGTGGGAAACTCTAGAGAAGCAGTGTTAGTATGTGCTTTGTGGTGCGTCGAGTCTCATTCAGTAAGCAACTGCCACCTGACAGGAGCAGGTTTTGTTTGCTGCCCCCTTTCCATCACTTCTTTGGCTTGGTTTTTCCAGCGGTTGCTGTGCCGCAGCAGCAGCAGACCACCCAGCGGCAGCAGCAGCAGCAGCAGCAGCAGCATACCAACCAGCGCCGCAGCAGCAGCAGCAGAGCACCACCCAGCAGCAGCAGCACAAGACTCAAGTGACACCGCCTGACTCCACGCCGTAACTAGTCGCGTACGCGGGGTAGGGCTATGATGCAAGAAATGCCGCCTGCACATAGCACCCAAAAAGGTATTACGGTATTACTGTCCAATGTAGCTCCTGCTGCTGCTGGGTGGTCTGCCTTGGCTGCGTCTCCTGCTGCTGCTGCGGCCGCTGCTGCTGTTGTGTTTGCTGCTGCTGCTGCTGCTGCTGCTGCTGCCGCTGCTGCGCTGGGCGCTGCTGCGCTGGGTGCTCCGCTAGCGCCGGGTCGTCTGCTGCTGCTGCTGGCGCTGGGTGGTCTGCTGCTGCTGCTGCTGCTGCTGCTGCTGCTGCTGCTGCTGCTGCTCTGGGTCTGCTGCTTCTGCTGCTGCTGCTCCTTTGTGGTTTGCTGCAGCTGCTTGGTGGTAGACTGCAGATGCTTGGTGTGCTGCAGCTGCTTGGTGGTCCCGCTCACCGCGCGCAGGGGGGAGTCGAACCGCGGGGGGGGGGGGGGGTCCATAAGATTGATTTAATCAATTATTTGAGGTTTCTGGGGCGCGTCCACCCCGTCACTTAACTTGCTAAAGCAAGAGCAACTCCAGCTAGCTAAGGCTAGCTTTCGTGACAAATCCAATACTTGGATTTGCTGTCCAGGAAGCCGGGACAAAAGTACCATCTTCCCCAGGTTAGGGGATTCACATGGATTCACCCAACTTCGGGAAACTGTATCTATCACCCGATCCAATCCAATCCGGTGCTTCTTCGGACCACGGACCACGTCGGACCACCTCTGGTGACAAGGCACAGGCGTGCCGGGCGGCCCCTGGGCACCGTCTCCGGTGAACACCACGACCCGGCGGGGTGGGTGGAAACCGAGGGACACCGCAACAAGGCGGTTTCATCACGATGATGGCGGTTTCATCACATGGATTCGCGCCCAAACAAAAGAATCTCACAAAAGGTCGTCGTATACGACTCCAAAAGCCCAACTTCATGTGAAATGGTGAGGGGGTTAAAATTTAAAGCTCTTTTGAAGAACCATGCCATTAGAACCACCCCATTTCTAGCTGAGGATGTGACAATCCCCTAGGCATTCAGTGATGATTTTTGGTGAATGAGTGGTAGAAAGAAACTCCAGCTGTGATTTTCATGGTCTCCCTCAGTTCGCTTTGGGGGTCCATCCTCGTGGCTTGTTGGACAGGGCATTTGGTTTCATGACATGGCTCGCCTGCCGCCAACCAATGTCGCCCCAAGCTCTGAAACAAGTCGACACAAGTCCAAAGCTCTGAAACCTCCCTCCCACTCCCAAAGAGAGGTTGCTTGAATCTCCGCAAATACTTGATCCCCAAGTTCATTTTCACTGACCAACACCTGCCAAAACGGTCTTCTTTTTTCAGCAGCGGGTCGGCCTGGCACATGTACTCCACCTTGGGGTCATTGGACCACACGTTGCAGTACAACTTCAGGCCCGGTAGGTCCAACGCCTCGAACCAAGTGGCAAAACGGTCTCCCTCCCGGCGTTCTCGCGCGCGCGCGTGCTGATTCAGAGGTTGGTGCCCTGACTGCGCGTCAGGAGCTCCAAGAATGTTCCAGGCTCGGCAGTGGTGTTGCGTGTTGCGATGTTGGGAGTCCAGCCCAAACACAACCTGTCTAAGACTGAGCTTGATCTGCCCAAACAGAGCTCGATCGACCAGTCGGGCTGCTTCGAAAGGTTCATGGTGGTGTCACTAAGAGCAGCGGAATCGGCTCCGGACACCGTAAGCCATGTGTTTGGATGGCCCCAAGGGTGCTCATGCCCACGAGCCGGGTCTGGGCATGTTGGACACTTAGAGACCAGACCCTTTGGATCCCTTTTGTACATGTCAGCCCGCCTTTCCCAGTTCTTGAAACCAAGAGACTCTGCAAGGGTGATTGTGCCAAAAATCACTTGAAATACAAGTCCACCATGCTAGTGTCTTACTACTGGGTTAGCATGGTGAGACATGTTAGCTGGATCTCCACGCCAAACTAAGGTCACCAGGCAAACAGCAACACGTAGAAAACCCAACACGTGTTGAGTTCGTGAAATAGAGGGGTGCATATATATCCCAGACACGACTAATGGGACTGCCATATATGCCGCCCCATTGACCCCCCAAACCACCCCAACTGATCGGCAGTCCTATGGCAGTCCCATTAGTCGTGTCTGTATGAGTGGGTGCACCACATGCACCCATTTGGCACCCTCTTCGTTCAGACGGATTCCTTCATCGGTCGAAGGTCCGGGTGGTCGGGTCGTGGAAGCCCCCACGGTCCGCCCTCCGCGTCCATTAGACCTGGCTTCCAGCGGCCAAATGGAGTTGTCAGGTATGTCAAGTGGTCAGAATGGTCTAAACCTGGCAACAATACCTTTGGGAAAACCCAGGTTGGCATAATCCTACTTCCACCTTCCAGGTGGGTATACTTTTCGTCCCCTGGATGTTTGAAAAACACTCACTGGAAATCACTGGAAGTATGCTCAAGCCCAGCAACGACCACGTCTTTGACCAAAGAACGGACCAGGTGCCCGGACATTGTAGTGGCCGCCCCGGTAATCATCTGGAGGAGCGTCCATGACGTAGCAGCAGCCCGGAATGCTATGCACACCTGAGCACGTAAGCAGCCAAATCATGCCAGGAAATACACAGTATGTGGCGAAGATTGCTTAGTTGGCTTGAAAACTGCAGTGGAGTCAGCCATCCCGTGGAGTCAGCATTCTCACCCGTCATTACTCGTTTTCAAACAGTGCGAAACGTGCTCCACAGCTTGCTTCCAGCTTCCCATGTGACCTGCGCCTCGGTCTCCAGCTGCATCTTGGGCCCAAGATGGCCCTTAGGCGATGCCTCTTCAGGTTTTTGGGGGACGTCTTTTTTGAGGCACCATTGTAAGCAAGTTCAGCAATGCGCTGTTGTCCACTCCAATCGCGCTCCGTCCTGAGCATTTGGATTCCAGCACAGGCAGTGATGGAGCGTGCTCCAGCACTGTGCCTGGGACGGCTCCATTAAAGAGACGCCAGATGAGGCCTTTCTCCTTGTCGAGACTGGTTTAACACCCTCGTCAACAAAGCCGAACCTTGGGGTCCCAGGGACCTTCCACGTGAGCCAACCACATGAGACCGTTTCAGGGGCAGTCGGCCACCCGTCCGGCGAAAGACACCGAGCCGAAGCCACCTGAGAAGACCAGTGACGCGCAGCTTCGGCGCCACGCGCAGCTGCCCTTCGGTCGGTCCACCCAATTCAACGGCCAGCGGTCAGCTCGGGCCTCTTCCAACGACACCCGGTGTTTGAGAACGGCATGGAACCGGGCGAACGCGAACGGAAGACGATGTTCTTTTCATCTACAAGTTCCATGGGGCCTCTTCCAGGCCGTACCCCAGTGGGGTGTCAGGCGGTATCCAAGATTCATACGCAGATCCAAGTTGCTGAAGACAATTAGCTGGCATCCATGGATTCTTACAGAATCCCACAAACCTGGTTGCACTCAACGAAATCCACCGTGGCTATGCAGCCACGGGTCTCTTGATAGATTTTGAAGCCCAGTGCCCAGCAGCTTCGTGCACCGGTGTCACCGCACAGCTTCGTGCCCGACCAACGTTTGGAGGACGAAGCAACGAAAAACGGTCCAAACCAACCCAACCCGTCCGAGTCTGGACGAAGATGCTGTGACCACCGGAGCGGCGTTTTCGTCACACAAAAAACCTGTCTCAACACCTCCGGGCTCCTTCAAGCTGGGACCCAGGTGTGGTCATGAAGAAGGTAGCAAGAGTTTAACATGGAGCCCAGCAGGGACATACATGGATGGCTCCTTTGACTGGGGTGAATATGGGGTGAATGTATGTAACTGGTTTAACTGGTCTTCAGTAACTCCTTTGACTCCCATCTTCCGGGACGAAAACATCCACCCAATCCCGTCCAATGCTCACTCGGCCCAGTCACAGGTGTCCAATTCGGTCAGCATCTGGGCAGGTCCGGTGAGACAAATCGCTGGCTGCATAGGCTGGAAATTTTCTAGCACCCCCTGGAAGCTGGTTCAAAGAGCAAACCACCACCCCCGGCCTTGGAAGCGTTTTCCGTATCCAACAACTAACATAAATCTATTTGGGGGGGGGCTTAAAAACACCATTGAATTCATAGCCCCTTACGGAACGACCGTTGTTTTCCTAAGTCCTAAGCTTTTTTACACGACAAAACCAGGTCAACCGATTTTCTTAATGGACAAACTGCGTATGTCTGAGTTCCGCCCTGCCTACTGTGCATAACACAGACAGACCCTGGCACATAAATAGATATAGATAGAATGGTAGATCCCCAATCGATTTGGGGATCACTGTGCAAAGAACAGCTTGTTGCCGGGCAGCTGGGGAGGTTTGTTTGGTCACTCTACTGACAAGTATGAAAGCCCTAGACGGACCATGGTTTCGGAATATTTTTCGCTTGACCTGACCACGGTTGATGGAGGCATGCTCCAAAGATCCATGAGCAGGGTTGAACAAGTAAGTACACACTCTCTGACACAGGTAGCTTTGCTGAGGATACACGATGACACATGGTCTTTCTGGCTGGCTCGCAAGAAAATCATGTTCAGAATACCTACCTTTCAGTGAAGTCGTCGCCAGAACCAACTCAGGGCTGCATACAGTACAATGTGTCGACTCGGTCAGCTAGGTAACCTCGTCGTCTGGAGGTTCCAGGTGGCATGAAGTTTGGACATGGATGAATAGCTCCAGTGACATCGATGACGCATGTCGACAAACAATTTGGCCAATGTCATAGACCCGCACATGTACATGGTTCTCTTCTAAAATAGAACACAAGCCGAACAACGCTCACTCATTACAAAACCAAACCCATCTCATGGGACTGACTGACTGGCAAACCGATGTTATATACCAATTGGGATGGTTGAAAAGGGGTCCATGTATACGAGTATATAACATAATATATGTCATATATATGATATATGTCATATGTCCAATCCATTCCAAAGGAGTCTTCTTCTGTACCATGCCATGATCCTTTTCCTTCCACTCGGCCACGGTTTGGGGCTCCCCACACCACACAAGGATGGAAGCTGTTCCCTCAGGTGGCGGTGTCGGCGAAGAGGTGAAGGAGCGACCGAGGGGGTCGAACGTTGGAACGTTGGCCACCGGAGCTTATAGGTATGACACACATGTTCACTATATACTATATTTGAGTACTGGACCGGCAAAGACCAACTGACCTCGACCCTCCAAGGTACTATCAAGTACTCTAGAACATGGGACAGGTACTTGATGGTACTTGCATCTTCTACCCCTTGTTCCATGCGACGAACGGAGGCTCCGTCACGTCTTCCAATTGAACGAGCCCCCAACGACGCCGAACGACGAACCGAAGCCTTCGGTCCCTGGAACCCGCGGAACCCGCGGGTATGACGGTATAATAGACACCCACCAGACTCACTAGACACCCAGTGACCTCCAAAAAGGGGCCCTGGAGGTGAATGGGGATTTAGTGGGTTTTGGGATAGGATGTTAATGGGCTTTGGGATGTTGAAAAAGGGCCCCTGAAGCAGGGGCTATTGTTGGACATCCCAATTTTTTTGGGGCCCTGGTATTTCATCTTCTGATCGAATGAGGATGTTGCTCTGCTATTGTTGGATGGGCGAAACTGGAAAACCTCATATTCAATCCTTCTGTTTTGCCATGAAACCATCCAAACCCAGGTCTGTTTCTCCAAAGGAATCTGGCGCAGAGCCTTGATACCATGTCCACCCCAATACACCAGGTCGGTCCAAAGGGTTGACCCCTAGCCTTGGTAAAAACAGGGTAAACGACCATGGATATATATAAAAATATATGCATCTTAAGAGGGAGATTGATCTATTTCCCACAGGGGTCGGTCTCCCTATTTGGCGGTCAAAACCCCGGTTGGCCACCGAAAATGAACAGATTCCTCAATAAGGGACGTCAACCTACCATGGTTTGTTGGGGGAGGTTTTGACTCACAGCCATTTGAACTACACATGCCTGTGCTTTCACGATACTTCATCACATTTCCTCATGTTCTCCCACTGGCCCCTCCACCCCCCCGTTGCCGAGGGGCGCAGTCAAATCAAAGATGCGGGACACCTGTAGGCCGTTGTAGTAGTCCATCATGGCGTTGTAGCTGGCATTGCCTCGGCTCCGAACATCGAGGGTACTCCCAACGGCCCCCGATGTTGGGATGACGACGAAGAACCGGTCACCGTGTCTGCTTCAACAAGTGACGACTTGAATGTGCGTGCGAACGTACGTAGGGTGGCTGAGGGTGGCTGGATCCAAAGGAATCTCGTTTTGGGAGCGAAACTTCCCTTTCTTCCCTAAGTAAGCCCTACTAGGACAAAGGGTCTCCTACTGACCAAGCACGGACGGGTTGAAGAAAAGAGTGAAAGCAAGTCCAAATACACACTGGGCCCCATCTGTGTTTAACAGTCAGTGTGGGTGCTTAAATATGGAGACCAGGAGGGCCCGAGTATCAGAAAAGAACATTGAGTGATATCAGAAAGTCATTGCCATAGGGTGTGTCTTTGTCTTTCAGGAAGGCGTACATGATAACAGCTATTGAAAATTACGCCTTCAGTCTGGCCCACAACAAGGGCCAAACAGCAGAATCCTCTAGTGTTTGTTTGTTTATGTCGCCTGGCAAACGGCTAAGCTCGGACTACAGGGAGAAGCCTCTAATTAAGGTTGAAATATATTATACATCCTTCCTGGCGCCTGTGGCACCGAAAACAGGTTGTCAACCGACGTGCAAACAGAAGCCGCGCCTGTGGGTGCCAGGCCAGGAAATAAGGACACTAGAGTCACTAGAGCCTCCCCTCCATTAGCACACAGCACCATGACGGTGACCGACCAAGGGGGCCGCCGGTGGCCGCCAAGTTCGACCAAACCGCTGCTGAAGAGACCGCGGCGGACCGGGCGGACCCAGGGACCAAGGAGACCAAGAGGGACGAGTGGACCGGATCCTAACTTTTTTGTTCTATACGGAGTATATATGAAGTGTTTCTATCCTTGTTAGAAGTAGAACACATTATGTTCATGCATGTTCATGCAATTTATATAAATCATTTGTTTGATAGGTATCCGGACCAAGAGGCCCCAACAAATCCAGGAAAAATAGAGTAAGGCCTAGGTGGTTGGGACGTCTCCCTCTTCAAGACAAGGCAGCTCACTACTTCTAATCCCTTCAGAAGCTGATTGCAGCAGGTGGCAAGTTCGCTCCAAGGTCATCTCGTCGCACCCGTCACCAGCCTGACGTGCACGCATTGCATGTGCTGCATGACTCCCAGATCATTTGGGGTGCTCGATTTCACGGGCAGGCATATGTTTCTACCTAGAAGATCCTTTCAGCAAAAATCCTTACCTTTTTTGAGAACAGCGGCTCTTTCCGTCCTGAAACGCGGAAATCAACTTATTGCCGCAAACATGTTTGTTCCCGCTTTCTTGTCCCTTTACCGGAACCTAGTGAGACAACGACTAGAGGTTGAAAGACCCTAATTATATACGAAATATATATAAACTACTATCTCACAGGTCCCCCACTAGGGTCCCATAAGGTCACTGTCTTGGGATGCTCACAGAGGCTCTGAATATGTTGGGTTTGGAGACCCTCGCATCTTATCACTGGAAGGGTCACCGGGAAAAACGAAAGAATGGCGAGCACTGTGTTTTCAAGCTTCCACCTCCAGATGCAAATCTGGCTACCCCGTCATATATATACAGTATATATATATGTATAAGTATAAATATATATATATATATGAGTGTGTGTGTTTGCTTTTGAATGTGTACCTTGCAGAATGAACAAATGCACACCACTCCAAAGTGGAAAGAACCTTGGGCGAAAATTCCCGACAAAAAAGGCCGAAATGCTGGTGAAAAAGCTAATAATTTCTGGGCAAAAGCTGGAAGAAGGGCTTGAACATATTATTGCAAATTTTTTTTGTGACTTTCATAAATCAAGGGTCAGATTCGGCCTTGGTGGGGTGTGTGAGATCTTGAGATGCAAACCTATAAGTATGACCCTGCAGAACGGTACGTTGTATGCAATCATGGAAGAGACAACCTCGTGGGTGTTAGGCAGTGATGATGGCCTTTGGAAGGCTAAGTTGAAAGTTGCTTGCCGGAAAAGAAGTGGTGGTCGTGCACTATTTCTCAACGACACAGATTTGCCCTTAAGAAACGAATCCTCCAGACAAATTGGAGGCATATTTTTTCTGCCCCAGGTGCTGGGAGGAGGGCGCAACATGGCCACCTGATTCGAGGGAATCCCCTGTCGATTGAACAACTAACTTGGGCCGTATGAATGCGCTTTTCCTAGTCTAAGTGTATCCTTTATCAATCCCACAAAACGACATCTCACTGGTATACTTGACCTGATCTACAGAAGATCTCTTGCGGCGACGTGGTTGTAGTATGACGCCCAAAGATGCCAAATACCGCTTGACACTGCTGTCTACTATGGGTTTCGAGGGTCAAGCGGTCCAACCCGGTGAGGCGACTTCTCCAGAAGTCCTTCATTCAGGGGCAACAAACACGACTCAGCCCCCCAAAACCATTGAAGAAAACCAGGCTGACGAAAATCAAAGGGATTATAGTGGATTCTATTGTCTTGACACCATTGCCAACCTTGCCGTCTTTACATCCAACTTGGGTCTAGGCCACGGTCCCCAGCAAAGACTTTGGAACTTACTATACTCATCACTCACCCGAAGCAGCTGCAGGTTTGCCCGAAACCGTTCGCCGTCGCCGCTCCAAGTGGCGAAGGAGGTCGTGGCGGTGTACAAGGTCTGAGCGGGTGTCGGGACGGGGTCCGTCTGACACTGAAACTGAGGATCAGTGAGGTGCTGGGGGAAATCAGTTCAATGGTTCACTTCCAGGACCATCAATGCTGGCTTTTCCTATTGAAAAAAGGTGCAACATGGTGAGGAATCTAGTGAGGAACATATGGCCAGACCCAAAGGAACATGTGGCCAGAACTGATAGATCTTCTTCATGTTTCAACCTTCCAGGGCTTGTTTCACCAAACATTTCTTCCAGAAAGAGCAAACAAAACCTTGTAAATCGTTGGTTTGTCTATGTACAGTAATTCCGTTGGATCGAGCCATTTGTCGGGGTCATTTGGAGGATCTTTGAATCAACATGGTTGGGTGGCTGTACTGAATGGTGGACTTAGAGAACAAGAGAATGGATCCGTTGCGGAATCTCTATTGGAGGTTCAATCTTTCGGCGGGCAACCCAGGATCGGGTCATCACGTATCATGTGGCATAGATTGTCAATATACAGGTCGTCGGAGTTTCATATACATAATATAGACATGCATATTGTTTCATGTTTGTCTTCCATCTGTCGGTCCTTGTGCTCTCTTCTGTATGCGCGTGAGCCCAAGATGGTGGGCCAGAAGTCGCAACCAGGCGCAGCTGTGCTCCAGCCGCTCATCGACTCATGAAACTCATCGACTCACCAAACCAGGTGCCAAAACAAATGCTGAACAACTGTCTGGTGTGCTCCCAAGCACCACGCCATCCAGTCGACCAAGCAGTGGTTTAGCCTCGAGAAGGCCAACAGTTGCTGGATGCATCACGAAACATCGCCAATGCTGGATGCACCAGGACGGCGCTGTATCATGTCCAAGTTGCTTTCACTCACATGTATCATTCTTCTGGCTCAGGCCCTCTCATCGACCCGCATCGTCTTCATGACCCGCACCGCGATCGTTGAGCTGCTCGGCGCCGAAGCTGCTTCATGCAGGCGCCGACAAACACAGCAGGGTTGCAATTGACTGGCTGGTAAGGTCACCCAGCGGGTCAGCGACTCTACACACTCCAGAAAGTTCACACGTGTGTGAACTCAGTGTGTTCACCATCTCTTCATGTGAACTGCTCTTCTCAGCAAGCCTGGCCTCACCTTACCATAATATCTTCTTTCCCCTGCCCACCCAAATCTTTTGAGCTCGAAATCTGGAACCCAAGGGAACCCGGATGACATGGATGCGGCTAAAATAGTCGCTTTAAGTTTTTCCAGGTCTGTCTATAACAGGCCAAGAAACCGTCGTGCCGTTCTCATCACCATAGCCATAGTCGCCATAGTCGCCATAGTTGCCCCCCTGTGGCGCATGAAACCGCGGTAAAACCGCGGGTGTGCCAGTGGAACCCCCGTATTTGACCGAGGGGAAAAGGAAAACATGAGGTCCAAGGAGCGGAGTGGAAGCGCACGCGTCTTGTGACACCCTGGGTTCCAGGCCTGGGTTCCAGGCCTGAAAACCACTGCACTCGTTTTCGGACGGAAACATCAATCTTCCGAGCTCGGTCTGGCTGCCAAGGTCGGTTTCAATCTTTCCGGGTGTACGTCATGAGATGTCATGAGTGTCTAAAAAAACATCCAAGGCATGGAAAGGAACTTGTGTCGTTTTTCAGAGATGTTCACAGATCCAGACTTGTGACAGTCATGCTCGACGGGGTCCCCAAGTGGATGATTTCCAGACTTGCGAAGGAAGATCCCTAAAACATCAAATGCCATCCATTTGTCTGAGCCACATGTTGCCTTTACTGGTCTTCCTTCGTGTGTGTGTGTGTGCGCGTGCTGACCAAAAATTGTACAGTAATCATGTTTGTCGTATGGGTGTGTGTGTGTGTGCGCCATCCTCAAGCAAAGCTAGCTGACTATCATCAAATAAGGGTGGCCAGAAAGAAACAATCCACACGTTTACCCAAGCAGGACCAGGAACACGGTCTTTGTCATTAGTGTCAAACTGTCTCATGACTATTTTCCACCTGTTTGCATTGTTTCTATACTAGTAGCGGGGGTGCCCCAATTCCGAGGAAAGGTTAAATTTATTTATCCATGTTTATCCACTCTCTGGGTAATGTCGAATTATAAACCGCCCTAGAATAATGACTTTGTTTTTCCTGCACAGATTTATAAAGGCCCCCAGAATAATGTCTCTTTTTTTTGGAGGGGTAGTTGTAGTGGAATATTTTTTGTGTTATAGTTGACTGTTTCCCTTTTGAGTTTGCTGGGATTTGCTTATCTTACAGGCTTTTGGATGGAGATTTTTATTAAACATTTGGAGATTTCCATTAGTATTGCCAGAGTAGCTCCAGAGGTAGCTAGCTAAGGATTCCTTATTTAATTAGTAATTATCAATTGATTGATTTTCTTATACATTATTTTGGAGGCCTTGGTTGTTGGGGGGGGTATAAATCAAGGGACTACATTAGGGCCGCTTCACTTTATATCTTACATGATGTGGTGCATCCTTCTACACTGGGACATGGCCGACACTCTTCGCTTGTGTGAACAAATATTGCTCATGGTGTCCCAGTTCCTTTGCCCCAGTTCCCGTCGATCGACCCACTGCCGTCGAGCCACCAGCTGACGCTTGGCAGCTTTGGCCTGCGCGTACGCGTTCGACCGCCCCGCACAGTGCTTTGGTCGGGGCAAAGGAAAGGCAAATGAAGGGACGACCCCATGGTAGGCTCAATGGGAGTCACATGGAGTTCAACTGGTGATCCAAAGGCAAGAGTCTTTCTATCAATCTCTGAGTGAAAGGCTGCATTGCAGCTTGAATTCCATCTCAGTTGGCAACTTCTGTCATGGATCAACCTCCCAACAGCCCAACAGCCCATCAAGGAGAAGGACCCCAACTGGGGCTGGATTCCATTTTTCTTACCCCCAACATCCCCGAACCCTATCCCCACATCCCCCATCCTATTCCCCTAACCTATCCCCACCCCCTCAACGCTTGAACTCGTTCGACTCCTTCTTGACGCGCTCTTTCATGACGCCCTTCCAGGGACGGCCGCCCTCCTGCGACGAACACCACGCGGTGGCTGGGTCACCGGTGCTAGTTACCCACCGTGACCGGTGACCGGGTGAGGTGGAAATCAAGAAATCACCAGCACCCAAGGGGTGGTTATTAGATGGAAAATACAATCTTCAAGGGGGGGTCTATAAACCACCCTACCTGGGTGGTGCTGGTATATAACGTAATTATATTGTTGTGTATACCAGGACCTTTAAAGTGACCGGACTTGATATCCCAGGATGAGGTCACTTAGGCACTCCTTGATGAGGTCACTTAGAGACTCAAAAGAGGTCAATCACACTTTATGGTAATAACCCAGACACTCCTAATGGGACCGGCATATTTACATACCTTGGGGTGGTTTCAGGAGTCAATGTAGGCATATATGCCATACATGGAGTGTCTGGGTCATATAATCATGTATTTATATAATATAACAAAAATATTATACATAGTGTACTTTCCCTGCAGTTTCTCAGAAACTCTGGTCGAAACATGTCAACACCCTCAACATCCTCTCCATTGGTCCATGGCCCTGTGAACCATCTCACTCAACACCCTCTTGTTGCTGACATCCCTGCCCGCCAGCTGAGGCTTTTTGGAACGTCTGAATAGAACCTTCCAGCACTGACTCCAAGAAAAACAGGAACTGTTGATTGCTCTGCAAATCTCTGGAATAAGATGGACAACTCTTTCCCGAGAAAAGCGTTGCAAGTCACTCCTGGTCACTGAGATGAGCCCCCGACGTTTTTCAGTTGTGGCATGTTCTTGGCCATCTCACTACCCAAAAGAATAGCGAACGTGCAAGACCACCGATGGACAAACGTGAAGACCATCCACACAGCCAAAGGCCCTTGACCAATTTGTGTTTGTCGAGTCACTGTACACTGACTCTACACCCGTCCACTGCAACCTGCAGATCATATTCACCCAATCCAAATGTTCCAGGTGTTTTGGGGCTCATGTTTCCAAGGATCTTTGCGGTTATCAGGACCACGGTCGAAATCTTTGTCCAGCTAACCGTTCTTCTAGCTGGTGGATCCAAGCAGAGGCACCGAGAAATGGAACACTCTGATTATTATACACCCAGACGCTCCAAACAGCCCTTGGTCCCTCAAAACCATAGGGATTTGAGACCCAGACCCTCCATACGTGAGGGCCCGACCTCTCCATATCAGGGTCCAGCGTCGCGTGTGTGGGTAGGTATGAACTAGATCAGTTCATGGGTGGTGCACTGTACCAGAGTCAGGACAAGAGACGCCAGAGTCACAAGTAGAGAGAGAGAGAGAGAGAAAGAGCAAGAGCAGCGCTCGAACCCCCGGTTACGCCAAGGGGTGCAAAAGTGGTGATATGTGGTGATCAGTTCTGTGGAACGTTGCGCTCCCCAGCTGAAACCATCAAGACCCGCCCAAATCCAATCTGCTCCAACGTTCGGCACGGAGTACGCACGGACGCGAGAGGCTTAAGGCGGCCTCGCTTAAGCGGAGAGCTGGAGCCTGAGACCCTTGGTGTCCTATCCAGGAGTCCTGAAACCAACGTACCCAACATGGTGGACTCCACACACCAGCCAAACCCAAAACAAACCAAAACAAAAGGGGGCACAGTCCCTTTGGCGTAACAAGAAGAACTGCACCTGGAAGAGCTTCCAAACCGGCAACTTCTTCTGTCGCACAGATGTGGACGGTATCTGGCGCGAATGGTTGGCAGGAGCTGTGTGGAGGCTCCAAAGCACGGGGAAGAACCCAAGAGAGCTCCAGTTCCTGGAATTCAGATGCAAAGGGATGGGTCTTGGGACCTTGGGATTTAACATATATTGCAGATCATTTAGTATTTGAATTCACCTGCCAGAATCTCCAAAAAGACCAAATGAACTCGACGATTCACATCAAGCAGCTCCTCAAACCCTTCACCGGTGAAATTCAATACAGCCACATGTTTGTGCATACGCGTGCGTTCCCAATGGATCCATCTGAAGCTATACACTCCTTCAAGTCCAAGCTTCTCAGAAAGTACGAAGACGGTACAAGTATAGCATATAGATGCATATATAGCATATAGATTGAGAGTAGATGGCACAACCCCCGCAGAGGTGGTCGAACGGTGTTTGTGCCATCAATTCATGACGACCGGGACCGGATCCCCGCCACACCCGGAACTCATCGAAGCGGCATAAACCGGTCAGGATCAATGTCCCGTTTGGGCTCCTGTCCCATCTCCTCAGGTTCGGTGGTTAGACCCCCCTGGCACCCACCCCTGTCCCATCTTCGAAACGGAGGTGGCCAGGAGCCCTAGGGTGTATCAGCCACCACTTGGGATTGATTCACCGAGCCGAAAAAGAAACACCGTGCCTCCAATCACAAGGCTACGTGGCTCCATGCCTTACAGGTCAATGACCTATAAAACTGGAGTTGGTTGTGCAAAAACACACACTCAAAGAGGTATAAAAAACAAAACATCATGTCCAGTTTGCACTTGCCTATAGGTTATTGAACACAATCGATGCCCTAAGGTCTTACTGCCTCAGGTCTGACCGCCGAGTCGCCCTTCGGGTCTCCAACGTCCCAAACCTCCGCCTCGCCTCTAGCCGGCGAGTCTGCGCATCGCCACCACACTCCAACTGCCGAGTCTGCCGAGTCTTGACGTCCATTCCATGCTGTTTCGGAGATAAGCATGTATATATAATGATTATATATATATATGGGTTATATTATATATAGTTATATATGCTTTGAATACAAGTGCTATATAATGCTATAAAGATTTTTTTGTATATATACCTGAGAAGAGGGAAACGAAAGCCAGGAGGAATCAGCATTTGATTTTTCCACGCGTGCAGCAATGGACACAAAGCGTCAATACACATGTGTCACCTAAAGGGTTTGTCTACTCTAGTGATGAAGATGCTAGCGATGCAATACTGAGTCACATTGCATCTTCTGCATCAGCAACCCACGAAAAAAAACACCTTTATGGAAAAGTAAGAAACACCACCAGGCTAACGTCCCACACCCCTTAAAGACTAACTTTGCTCGTATAAACTAACTTCAGTCTAGCCTATTGGCTGGCTTTCTATACTGTATTTGTTGTTCTATTAACTGGGAGGAGCGGGTGTTTTGGGGTCTTCTGCAGATTCTTGGTGCTCCGTTCTGGGAGCACCAATGGGGATAGGTCGTTCAACCACCAGTCCACCATGCAGCAAAACACGGACACCAGCTAGGTCAACGAAGGTATCCTGGTATCCTGGTTTTTGATCCACAGCCACTTAGACCGAACCTTTAGGGTGGAAGACTTGTGAGATTGACGTCACAATACCCGGCCAGCAGGGTACCTTGCGGGAGAGGTTGAATCTTAGATGGTGTGTTGATCAACAGCACATCTCTCCAATCTTTACATCTTTGCAATACGTGGAAATCTGCTCTGTATAAAGGCTAAGCTATAACACTGGTGAACGGTTGAGTGTGGGACCGTCGTTCCAGACTCATAGGTTGGGATCAAAGACTCTGCCCGTGCCAGTTTCCGTCGGAGAACACCCGCATGGTGTTCTGAGGCCCCTCCACACCACTGCTGAATGAAACAAATCTTCAAAAACACTCCATCACTTCCAGTCAAGTCCTTGAAGTAACACCCCTCCTTTGTTCTGCTTTTGTAACACCCAGCAACGCCGTGTCTCGAAGTCTCGAAGCAACGCCCTGTCTCGAAGCAACACCGCCAACGTCTGGGTGCAATCCTTTTCGCCAAGGTACCGGGTTCATCATGATACAATCCTTGACGTCCCTGGCATCGAAAGGTCGTGGTCGAGTTTGATCGCTGTAGTTCGGCGGAGAAGAGGCGAACTTGAGGAACTCTATAGGGACCCTCCAAAACAAATATATATTGGAAAATGGAACAGAATAGAAACTTGGTCTTCCTTTTGGGGCATTTCGGGGCTATGCCATACACTTCCACCATGATGGTTCGAGAGTGCAATGTAGTGCATGTATGCTTGGCTTCGATGCTCCGCTGGTGCTGAAGTCGTGGCTTTGATGTCCTTTGTGGATTAGCTTGGTCCGAGAAGAAAACAAGCAGCTGCTACTGCTAGGTGGGTCTCAAATGTCTCAAGTGGTGGGTCTTTGTTCACCAGTGGTGGTTTTCACCTTAATCCTTTTAATCAACCTCGCTAGATAGAGGTCATGGGTGGATTCGGCTGGTGTGTAGTGGTTCATGAAACAAGCCATTTGTGGATGTGAGCTGTCACCCATCACACAATCCTACCTTACCCAGGTAGCTCTCTCCATCGATCTTGCCACGATTGGCTAGGGAAGCATCAGCTTCAAAGGTCACCTCGTTTGCGACGTCGCGACATGGCAGTTCTCCGACGGTGGGCCCTGCGCAAGGCTCCATGGGCCCCGAATGCAGTCTCCACATCCCATCTGGGCGTGTTTCAAACCACGGTCTCCTCGCGTGGTTTCCAGATGTTCTTCGAGCCGAAGGGAGAAATGCATTGCCTCTGACTCACGTACGGTACGTGGTTTGGACACCCCCTTTCACCTGTGCGGTGCTAGGACTATACCGATCCTCTCCGACGGCGCCCATCGAACCACCGGCAGCCGGGTGGATCCATGGCTAGCTCCGATCCCTAAGGTGCGGTGCAGCGGCGCAGGTGATCTATGGTTATCCGCTGAACTCCTGAGCTCAGGGCCACAGTAGTAACCCAGACACTCTTGACATCAAGAACGGTTTTTTGGAGGATCTCTCTTGAAAAGAACACAGGAATCCACATGAGCCGATCAAAAACACCGCGATCGAGCACAAGCACCAGCGACTGAGTGAGGCTTACGAACGAGTCGGCACCTGGCTACACCTCTCATGCCTGGCATGTGGGGCCGTCGCGTGGCCCAAATCTGAAGGGACCGTCCGAAAACCCAGCGCCCCGGGTAAGCACAGACTCCCAAGGGAATCCAATACCATCGCGGTTGGAGGCCATTGGGTTCCCCAACCTGAAACTGAAACCGACCTGAAAAAATGATGATCTGGGAATCATTGCATGCAAGACCAGCCCTACCGATGACCGGAACTGGACATCGACCACCCGCGTGAAGCGGTTCATGCGGCACACCGGCGGCCTGTAAGTGCACATCGAGGTGGTCACGTTGGAGACCTCTGACCCCAGAGGCGCTCAACGTGCGAGGAAAACGGACGTGGTCAACCCGTGCGAGGACTCGGTGTTGAGTGACAAGACAGTCAGTATAGAGAAGTATAGATGTGATGGGCGTGCTTCATTCAGTATCTATACCCTGGGAGTCAAAGACTATAAAAGAATGGTCTTTACGTGACACGAAGAGGAATGTCCTTTACTTCAGTCAATCAAAATATAGTCTTTGGATTTCTAGGGTATATATTTTTGTGGTTGTGGCATACTCACGCAACGCTGAACAAAAAATATCTATTATATTGAAGAATGGGTAGCGCATCGCCATGTAATTACACTGCTGGAAGAGGGTGCTGAGTTCCTGGTTATCTGGTTCCTGGCAGAGTTGGTCCGTGCGAGAAACCACAACCGGGTTGGTTGGTTGGTAGAAATAGGTGTGTCCTTTAATTAATCTCGAGACCCCACTAGAGACCCCCAAGCATTGGGTTTTGGTACTGGTTTTGGTCTATCTTCCTTCAAGGTTGAAGGCTCAAGCGTTTTCGTCGCGACCTTGACTCGGCGGGGCCGCACGAATTGGGCCATGGCATGTGGGGTACTCCCCCCTGGACTGCAAGACCTCCTGTTGGACTTTGATGTCCATAGGGAGGTTCCTGAAGGTACTTTGGCTTCACCGATGCTCTGGAATCTGCTGCTTGGTGATTTACACCTAGAGGTTGCTGGCCTTAGAGCCACAATTTTGAAAGGCGGGTTCCTTCAGGCTCATGATCTCGGACATACCACCCGGCCTGTACCACCGATTGAGATGACGGCCCAAAAGGTCTACATCCAGTTCCCGAATCCGCAGAGTTTGAAGTCTACCAAAGAACTTCTCCTCACTCGCCTGTTTCTCCATCCGCATCAGGAGCAAACACATCGCTCAGAGTTGGTTCTGTGCATGTCCAAGGATAGCCTGATCGTTCCAAGGCATCATGGCAATCCAGAAGTCATGGTTCACCTCTTTGCTGGGGGCTACGGCGGCTGGACCTCAGCACTACGATATTACCAACCCAAGATCTATCCGAATGTCAGATCGATTTCTGTGGAAATCGACCGAAAGTTAGCTTTCCAACATGCACTCACCCACAACGAATCGTTCTCTCCGTCCGATGTTAAACTGCCGCTCGGTTTGTTGGACAAGCTTTCAGGTAATGTGATGGTTTGTGCAGACGTTGCTTCGTCAGGATGGCAGCTGATCCTCACTGGAGCGTCTTCCAAGCTTTGGACCTTATCGCCTCCATGCCAGCCCTGGTCCTCGGCTGGCCGGGCACAAGGACTTGAGGATGCTAGGGCACAATCTTTGCCCAAGGCCTTTGCAGCTGCACGTTTCCATCAACCACCGTTATTGCTCTTTGAAAATGTCAAAGGCTTTCGGCAGCATCCTCAATACCCAGTATTTGGTCAATTACTTAGCTGGGCAGGTTACCAGATATTCCATGAAAATGTCATTGAGCTGGCAGAGATTTGCCCCATCAGAAGACCGAGGTATTTGGCCATTCTGGTCCGACGTGATATTTCCTGGAATGACTTGCCATCTTGGCAACCATGGCGTGACTTCACCTTCTCCACGCCTTTAAATTTTGACTGTTGGTCACCGACACAACCCAATGAGGTGGATGATTTCTTTCCGTCAGAAGCCACCAAGAATTTCTACATGACGGCAGAGCTGTGTCCAACTCGCGGTGAACAACCTATCTCCACTCATCGGGTCTTTCAGACACGTGTTCCGGGTCTTCATGTGAAGCAACCGGTGTTGATGGCCAAGTATGGAGAGCAGCATCTGTTGGACATCAATTTCCTGTTGGACAAGGGGCTTCATGGTTTTTTCTGTCCGGATCAGATGACCTTTCGATGGTGGAAGCCTGTTGATGCATCTACAACCGCAGGACTTTCTGCTTTTTCGGCCTCGGGAGCATGCTTGGCACAGCCTGGGTAATATGATTGCTACACCTCATGCAGCACTACTTCTCCTTAATGCTTGGAACATGCAAGCTTCCCCAGAAGATCGCCTTGATGTACACTTTGCTATTTCCCAGATGTTACTAGATCGTCGGACATTGTCATCTTCCAGAGTGGTCTCCCTCAAGCATGCTTGGATTCTCACTACCAAGTCTGAGCTTTCTGATCTTGAGGTTGTGCTACAGAAAGTTGAAGAAGACTTGGCACCTTCCGCCAGTGCAGAGTTTCGATGGCCGGATGATGTATATTGGAGTAATGCATTTGGCTTACAACCACTCCACAAACTACGTCAACAACGGCATGATGAGTCTATGCCACCTTTGCCATCCCCGACATCTATGGAGAGCAAAAGTGAAGGAGACATGGAGTCTCTCGCTCCGGGTACACGGTCCAATACTTCCTCGATTCCAAGATCCTCAGATGAAGCGCCAACTCTGCCTACAGAGTCTCCCCAATTGGAATTCCTCCTTCAAGCGCCGCAAGAGGCCCCGGCAGCTGAGCCAACAGCCACATCAGATCACAAACGTAAACACTTGGATGTAATTGAAGTGGAAGATACAACCGAGGAGAACACTGCAACCTCGCCATCTCAGGATCGTGGGCAGGCTCAGCAAGACTCTACAAAGCCTCAGCGTGTGTCAACCAATAACCCTCTTGGGGATAACACTGCAACCCCAAAGCTTCCTCATCAGACACCTACAGCGTATGTGACTCCATATCTTATTCCTGGAGAATATGGCACACTGACAATCTATGGGACTGTTCAAGCATGCCAGCTTTCGCACCTATGGAGTTATGAAACCCGGGTGGTCCACGCAGACACTTTGCAACTGTGTGCAGAACATCACACGCTGGCTGGTCAATATTACTGTATTCCAAGCACTATGATTCAAGCTGATCCGCCACAGGAGATTCCTTTTGAACAGGAGGCCCCTATCCTCTTTCAAGACTATGATCAGGCCAAGTTCTTTTTAGTATCAGAGCTGCTCGACACCTACTTCCAGGGCACTTTGCACCTCTATGATCAATACGGTGAAGTCCCAACATTCAAGCATACAGCGGAATTGTGGGTTGTCACAGCAATTGATCTGCCCATGACCATCCAGTTCCACATTGACCATTGGATCAATGTAACTCAGACAGTCAAGATGGTGGATACTGATCATCTTGTATGTCTCTTTGAAGGTCCAATGGAGTCCATTGAGAATGTTCTGATGACATGGTTCCTGGCAGCTTCTCAGGACTGGCAAACCTATCATGCACGTCGTCCGTGCTTACAGACCACTTCGGATCACCAAGCAAGATTGGTTTTCAACACCACTGGCAAGAAGTTCGCAACGCCTGCGATCTATCTTCTTTCGCAGATTGCTTTTCGCATTGTTCGCAATCAATTTCAGGCAATGGCCACAGAAGATGGCCTAGTGGTGATCATCAAGTACCTGGGGAGAGAACTTTTCCAAGGCTATATGGACCCGCAGCGGCAGGTGGGCACCTTCCACAAAGTCCTTTCCCAAGCATTTTGGCCGATCCATCATGGCAGATCCATGGCGATCATCTCCCAGGCTCATTCCCTTGGGGATCGAGTTCGCCTTTTTGAATTGACGGCACGTGACAAAGACAACAATCCACATCCGGTTGTCCTATATCTTCAACCACCACAACAAGGAGGCGTCAATGTTGGATCAAAGAAAGAGCACCATCATTTGCTACATACAAAACTGGCAGAACTTTTCCATCAAAGTGGAATATCGGCCAAGGTGGAAGACCTTATTCGCCAATATGGTACATCGAGGATCACGCATTTGCTATTCTCTCAATCTGGAGCTGACAAATGGTCTGATTTTCGCAAGCTATGTCAGGAAGCACATGTGGAGCTACCATCTCAGGAAGAGCTTCATAAGATGCAACAAGGAAAATTTCAGAAGTTGGCCAAGCATCAGGCGAACAAGGCCCGTCAAGACCCAGATGTATCTGAATTTCAACTACGACAGGGCTACTTTCAGTACAATGATGGTTCGCCAGCTCAAATCCTCACGGCCATCACACCCTGGACCCGGGGAATATGCCTTATGGATATGGAACAAGCAGCACCGTGGCTCCGAGAAGTACAAGAACAAAGCCCAGATGAACTCGCTATTTTTGTCATTGGGGCAGATTCTATCTCATCTCCTTTGCCATGGCAAGTCACCTCAGTCCCAGCTATCAACAACAAAGGCCAGCAAGTGATCCTGCAAGGAGTTTTGTTGCAACTTGGTGAAGAGACCATGCGAATGCAACACACAGATGCCTCGGTGAAGCTGACGGCTACCCGAATTTGCAGTATCACATTGTGGCAGGATGAGTTTCCCCCAGATCATTGGACCGACATTCTACGGGCCCCAGTCAAAGAAGCCAAAGCACTTCTCCCTGTCGAGATCGCGCAATACATCCGCAATCCATGGGGACGGAGTTTCCGATCAGGGGACAAGACAGTTCACCCCGAACAGGCCACCAGCCTACAGTTTCATGTTGAGGTCGCAAATGAGATCTTGATGGACCTGCTCCGTCCGTCTGGGTACAACAAGGTACATGTGGTGCCAAGGAATCAACATGGACATCCAGCAGAAGACTATGCTATCATTTGGACGGATGGCGACTCAGCCACACTGCAAGCCAAAGCAGGTAGGTTACCAGGCCAAGCGGGTTTTGTCCGGGGGAAGAAGCGGCATGGAGTCAGATTTGAGCAAAATGCATACCAAGCAGCATGGGAGAAGCTCCGTCCGGGAGAAGAACTTCCTACTCAGGGCAGCTACCCCATGACCTTTCGTATTGAGCCATTACCCTTGGGGGTGGATGCACAGATTCTACGTACCTGGGCAAAAGAAGTGAAGTGGGATGTCAAGCCTTTGAAGAATCAGGGCCCAAGGCGCTGGCTGGTAGCTGCAGCAGCTGAACCGCCATCCTATGTTTGCTTCAATGGGCAGATCCTTCTCATTACGAAGTTGGATCGCAAAGCTCAAGCACACTTTCCACCA